AATTTACAGTAATTTTTATACTAAAATCATAATTGTTTTAATTATATTGGAGATTGGATGGGGTATAGCTCAATGGCAGAGCGTTCGACAGTAGATCGAAAGGTCCCTGGTTCAATTCCGGGTACCCCCTCCACCCGGGCTTTGTTTACTGAGGAAGAACCGCAGTAAACAAAAATAACTAGCTTTTTATAGTTGGCAGCGCAACAGTCGAGAATATCGATACATAAGTGAAATGATGGATGTGCAGATTTGATAATCTAGCACCTGCTTTCTTATATCAGATTAGGTTAGGTCGCGTGGATCATCGCTTTCATCTTCATCACACATCTTAACCTTTATGCTTAGGGCCAGAGTTTATGTAGTGTAGGGGCGAGGAGAAACTATGGCTTCTTTCCAAATCAGCAAGAAAATTGATATAGAAAATATATAATGAGTTAATTTAGAATACCTTAATTGAAACTTAGCTGACATTCAGGTATTTCGTAGTGGCTATTGAGTGGTAGAGTATGTGTGTCTTATGTTTAATAATGCACTTTTTGCGAAATCTCAATATTTTAGATGATAATTTAATGGTAGTCAAAGACTTTTTCATAGTACTAAGACTAATATTAGCTCTGACAAATTTAGCAATCTATTTTATACAGAGCATTCAATGGATTACTAAGTAGTATGCTGATTGATCTCTACACCCTCTGACTTCGTAAATTTAGATATTTTTGTTAATGTGCTGTATTTTATTAAAATTATTTAGTTTTGCATTTTTTTTAATGCGATGTCTCCATTATTTAATGTAGTGCAAGGGAGCCAAAATTCATTGTTCTTTAATACGTGCCATGATTTATGGCTGTTATAGTAAGTTATGATTACTTTCTCGCATGATAGTAAGTTATGAAAACAAGCTTCAGTTAGAAAAATTGAATAATTTAATAGAGATACGATTTTGAAATAAATTGTTAGAGAGAGATTACGGTTAATGTACTACAAAGTGGTTTGAGAAAGCAGATATAACTTATCCCTGCTCCCACTACATTTCTTCTTTCTTTTCAAACTTATTTCAAGACTTTAAAATTACCATCAAGCAAGTAAAGCATCTTAGAAATAAATTTATATGAATTATTCATGAGGACTAATTAGATGCAAAATTCTGACAGAAAGAGAATGCTAATCAGTATGACTAATATTTTTAACTGAGAAAAACAGCAAATTGTTTAACAATTATTAGATATACAAGAAGAAGGTTACTTACATATGCGAAATAAATCGCCATTTATTTTTTAATTAATAATTCTTTCAATTCCCGTATTTCTTTTAATAACCTACATTTCACTGATAGTTTTTTGTAATGTATTGAAGAGGTCCATCTTTTTGTAAGTGTAAGTTGTGAATTCGATAACAAACAGTGAAAATGAGAAAGTTGCCTGACCTTTTGTATCACTCATCAACTGTTTCATTTTTCTTTCATGTCTTTCTTATCAATATTCTCATTTGGTTAACTCCTTATAGTGTTTCTTTATTCATTTTTTTTTGTAATTGGTTGTTTTTTCCTAAGATTGAGATGATTTAAAAAAATTTCTTGTACCAGTTTTCAGTATTCACAATTTAGATTCATTTCAATTTCTGAAGGGTAATTAAATAGAAATATAAAACAGCTGACTCATATATTGTTATTTTTGATCGTAATCACTGACAACAGAGTTATCATTTTCGCGTCTTATGAAATCGATTAATAAAGATGTCTATTGGTGCACTAAATTTCATTGCAAATAATCTTTGGTTATTCATCATCGTTTAAGTCCATTACTCAAATTCAGACCAAAGATCGATTTAGCTACAACAAATAAATGAATCGCTGATTATTTATTTGCATAGAGCTATAAATGTGAGTGATGGTTTGCTAGCTAATGTCCAAATCTATTGATAAAATAGCAATGATTACCATTTCATCGCCTTACGTGGCTTTCTTTCATACAATTTATTTATTATGTCTTATTCTGATTTTTGATTAGACAACTTTTGTACTGACAGATTTAAGTGAGCAAGAAGAGAGGATTCATGGCAACAACTGATTATAACAAATTTTAAACTGAATATATCATTAGTTATTCAAATTCATTGGATTAAAGATGAAGTAAAGTAGCTTTTTATTAGTTCTATTAATACTGTTGCATTGATGAAATATGAACATAGCAAATCAAAAAATATTTAGGTTAATTGCCATAAAATTGCAAAGGGGTTTTTCATACGGATGTTTTCCTGATGAGAAATTAGAGAGAACATTGACAGTTGAAAGTGTAAAAATTGCCAGGTTTTAACATTTCAATAATTCAAGCTAACATAATTAATTAGTACTTGCACATTTTAGAATTGTATTCATCTCTAAAAGATGAGGAAAGTTTTTGTATTGAATGAATTTGAAAAATAAACTTTAGTGCACAACCTCTCATCTATCATCATTATAGTATCACTTAGGCTTTCATTCCCAATTACTTTCCTATTTGACATCAGTTCTCTAAGTAATTATGTTTTTGCATATCACCTCATCTTTCAAAGCTTCTTTATATTTCGTAAGTGTTGAATTTTATTTTTATGTAGAAATTCTATAACGCAAATTGACCACCCCAAGTGTTGGAGAGATTAAATTTTTCTGAGGTAACTTTTGTAAAGTTTGAAAGTTATTGGCCAGTGAGAAAAGTAATCTGTTAAGAAATAATGTAAGCAATATAACTTGAACAAAATTTGCATTCGATTATTTTGCGATCGAATCATTCGAGAAAATCACTGCTGCGCTATAATTTGAACGGTAATAAGAAAAGTAATGCTGGTTCGGAATAATGTGTAGACAGTAGTTGATCAGAAACTGTAAAAACGCATGGAGCATAAACAATAGGTCGCATCAGTTTATATGCCTGTCCATTAGTGATGCAGCAGAACGGATGGAGTACACATGATGATGATGCATCGGACACGGAGGTCACACTGCTGGCATCTTGTGTTCTCGTTATTTAAACGGATGCGGTGGCCTCGGATCGCTCGTGCTCTCCATGACACCAAATATTTTTTGTCATATTCTTTTCACCTGCAGTCATATACCCACTTCAATCGATCAACAATGTAACCTAAGAAAGAAATTTTCATGTAAAGACTATTCATCCTCTTCTCCTTCATAAAAAATCACAGTAAGCGAAAATGTTTGACCTCTAGCAAAAGCTATAAACAGGAAAAAAACAAATGAAATCATGCAAACTTCAAAATCGCTTTAGCTAAAAATTCATTTTAATCCAAAAAATATTCAGGCCTATTCATCTATTCTCAAAGTCTAATAGGTTGTATTGATGCGCTTGCCAATCAGAGTATAACAAGCATTCATTATGTTTTCAATCAAACTTACTTAACGATAGTCTCAGAAGTTAGCAGTGAGTGCTGAGGACAGTAATAGGTTGAAAATGGTCATAAAAATTTCACTTGAAAGAAAGCTGCTGGAAATGAATTAATGTATTAAAAAAGGGCGTCAAAATATAGAATACCATCTTCGACTTTTCTAAGCTTCTTTCCTCATGAATTAAACTGCAAAAATCAATCAATCAATTAGTTCATGAATCATCATGTCGTACTCTCGGCGACTTTATAAATACTATGAAAGTTCTATGTTTTGTTTTGGATACTTATATGTGAGTGCTGTCTTGAAAGTGGCCGAGCAATCTGTTTCTCCCCAAAAACTCCAGCGAATGGAACAAAAATGATTTCATTTGAATATATTCTGCTGATATTTATTCTGAGTCTAAATCATCATCATTAGTTTGAGCTCTCTGGTCAATTAATGTTTCTTTCATCTGTTTGTTTGATTGTTTTCATTTATTGCTGAAAACTATTTGACACCAAATATCATTTCTATTACATGATGAATTTTTTTCTTTTTTGTAAAATGGATTTATGCATCCTCAATCTAAGGGTCATTTTGTTATTCTAATCATAAAAAAGTGCAGAGATACAAAATAAAAAATTGTTCGATTTTTCCATTCTTACTAATCAAAATCTTTTAATAATATGTGATGCATTCTTCAATGATACGATTACGTTATTTTAAAACAGGTTCTTTGGAACTGTCCACAACTCTTTTTAGTGGAGATTGCATTGCTAATGACATGTCTTTGAAAATGAGAAATTTTTACGATGCGCCAATTTTGGTTTAGCAAAAATTTGATTCTAAGTGACCGATGTGTTTTAATAGCTTTTTTGTCAAGTTCATTATTTCTCAATCTAGCTAAAATTGAATTAGGACTAATGAAATCACCTTAGATATCTAGCAGCTAGAAGATTTTATTGATATAACGGTAAGAATCAATATTTAGAAAGTTCTTGTATATTTAATCAGTATACTGTTTAATAACATATAATAGCAAAAGTAAATTTTTTATTGCTTTGTTACACAAATCAGCTGTTAGCTAAGCACTTGAATGAAAAACGAGGAAACAGTAAAATTTGTTATCAGTTTGCCTTTTTTGCCCTTAACGAACGATATCATTAGAGGCAAGCTCTCGTCCGATCCTTTTCTTGTCTTTTTCAATTTCTTACATTCTTTTCGATCAACTTAATATCGTGCGATGTGATATTACTTTATTCTAAAAGAACTTCTACAACTTCTGTGTTTGATCATTTATTATTATTTTTTCACCTTAGAATGACACTAATATTGAAATTTGCTCATGCTTCACTTATTAGCACTTGTGATTTCATGTTTATATGGATATAAATTTAGAGACTATTAAAAGTACTAGAAGGTTGCTATAATTTCAAATAAAAGCCATTCAGCTGTAAATGCACGTTGACATGCATGAAGCGCTCAGCTACATCATAATGAAATATCTGATAAAAAAATACTAATAACACATTCGATAGTACTAAATGGTTGTTTTGATTTTTGTTCATGCAAATCATTGCAAGTCGATGTTTTTATCGTTTCTTGACTGTATGTCTTACATTTTTGCACTGTTTATTTTAGGGTCGGAGAAATGGCATTGTCACAAAAAGGACTGCAGATATTGATAGTGGCGTTGCTTTCCTTCCCTCAAGAAGCTTATACTAGAAGTATTTCTCTTGAAGGATTTGATCCCTTGAAACTGCTTGTAAGTTACACACTTATTGTACTATATCTATCTTATTGTTTACTTTCATTTTTCATATGCCTTCCTGTCTTAAAAGTTTCCTAACCTGTCAGTTACTAGTTGACTTTTAAATTCTGAAATACTAAAAGTACCAGCACATATCTATTTTGAAACTAAGAACAAATCTCTGTTCTAAAGAGAAAATTATTTCGTATTCCAAATAATTCACTAATTTTAATGTGTCATTTTGTAGGATTGCTAAATAAAGAAAAGCGTAAGTAATGTCTCTAAAATAATTCAAAAACATTTATTGCAATGTGGAAAGATTATAGAGTTCTTTGTAAAAATATCATTTCGTCATATATCCTCAATGTTTTGCTAAGAGGATATCAAAATACACGTGGCATAATTATGTTTGAAAGTTAAATTAACTATATCGCGATCACCGATATTGTTAAGTCATATTGTTTCATCACTTACTTTTTTTAAGAGATGACTATTTCAGTCAATCTACCAATCTATATATCTTTTATGGCTGTCAAAAAAAAAATTCTAAACTTAATATGTTTAGTTTGTAACATTCTGGAATTACAGGCATTCAAAAGTTTGATAAATTTCAAAGATTTTCGCACGTGTAAAAAATAAGAAGTTAGTAAAAGTTTGTCAAATTAATAATCTGAGCCTATTGCTAAGTGATTTATGTTGAATATTCTCGTGTCACGGAAAGATGATTTTGTAATTTTTTGGTATTGAGTTCCAAGCATTAATGCAATCTGATTAGTAAGAGTCTTTGATATCAAAAAGATTTTGATCCAAGGTTAGCTAGTTTCTTTTATTTGGTATTGATATTATAGAAAAATCTTTAAGATATAAGTATACGAAACTGCTATCATTATGATTTTTTGTTTTGAACACTACTAATTATAGGACTCTGAGAACAGAAAAGATGATATGATGTCTACACAAAGTACGGATCGTACTGTAATAACTCATAAACACTATGGGATAAAATTATTCAAGTTCCAGTGGGAGCATGTTAGCGCACCTCTTACTATCGCATTTTGGTTTTTTACGGTTACCATCACAAAAATTAGTTAGTATCTTTGTTATCTTTGAAAAATTCATATTATTTCTAATACTGAGTCATGGATAATTAATTCTCTTATTAGAAGTAAATCAAGAATACTACTTAAAACGTCATATACTGTCTTACATTATTAGTAAAAAATTAGCAGAGTGTGGGTGTGTATTATATATTTGCAGTTTTTCACCGATTCCATTATGTCCATAGTTTATTGCCTGATTCTGCATTGTTGATTATTCTCGGCTTGTTTTTTGGGTACATCTTTCATCTTGTTTACCCAGACGAGGCATGTTATTTTTTGTCAAAATTTTCATGACTTGTGATTTATTACTAATTATTTCATTGCATGATTTTTTATCTTTGGCAATTTTACAACTTCAATTCCAGATCCTTACTGTTTTGTATATGCATGCAATGATGATTGAAATAATTAAAATGTGTAGCAAAATCATCATTAATCAATGCGCTTATGGATTTTTCTGCAGATGTATCTCAAACCGGATTGGTTTTTCTTGTATCTTCTACCACCTATTGCGCTTGATGCTGGATACTTCATGCCTAATAAAAACTTCTTTAGGTAATTTTTATATCATTTAATTTTTCTTAATTTTGCATATTCCTTCAAATTTTTTTTTTGTAGGAATTTTGGCACCATAATGACATATGCAGTTTTTGGAACATTATGGAACGTCTTCGCCATTGGTAATTTATGTTTTATTTGTAGTAACACATGGATTAAAATCTATCTCACGTTTTTTCTTTAAGTCGCCTTAATGCAATAATTTTTATGCTTTCCTTTCAGGTCTGTCTTTGTACTTTTTAAGTGGCTATTTTAAAGTAGACACTTCATTAATGGAATTATTCATGTTTTCTACACTAATATCAGCAGTGGATCCAGTAGCTGTTCTTTGTGTATTTGAAGAAATTCACGTTAATCAGCAGCTTTACATTTGTGTGTTTGGTGAATCATTATTAAATGATGCTGTAACAATTGTAAGTTTTAACTGAGCAGATAATTTTATTTTGTGTTTGTAGATTTTCCAACTGTTATTTATTAACATACAAAAATGACTAAAAATTTAGCTACATTGTTCACATGGAATCCGCTTTTTAATTCTATTTTAAGGTGCTTTATCAAACTTTCAATGCTATGATAGATGCGCATAGTCTCACAGGTGCAGACTATATTACTGCTTCATCTTCATTTTTTATTGTATCATTTGGTGGATTATTGATTGGTCTTTCATGGGCTATAATGACAGGCTTTACTACAAAGTAATTCCTATTCTAGCATGTCCTGAAAATTAAATAAAGATTACAGAAGTTATTTTTATTCATTTTTTTCTGCTACCAATGCTTTATCAGTTTCGAAATTAAATTTTCAGATACTCTCAGCATTTGAATGTGGTGCAACCGCTAATATGCTTGCTTTTCCCCTATCTTGCATATTTAATAGCAGAAATGGTAGCAATGTCCGGCATTTTAGCGTTCGTTGATGCTCTGAACCTATTTATTTCTTAATATTTTCTATTTTTTTACATTGATTAGTGACTTCTGATTTGCAGAATTGTGATATGCGGATTAGCGATGAAGCAATTTGTTGTAGGCAACTTATCACGAAAATCACTTGTAACTGTTCAATATTTTATGAAAACACTTTCATCAAGGTTGAACTTACTTCAAACTGAACATTATTTAATACAGCTATTTTAATTTAGGTTTATTTATGTATCATTTTTCACTGTTTTTTTCATGGAATAACTTACATATTTATGAAGTTGTGAAGCGCTGATCTTTGTTTATCTTGGAATATCAGCTGTCTCCAAAAACCACGATTGGGATATTGTATTCATCATTGGTACAGTAATCAGTTGCCTTGTTCAGCGGTTCATTGGTGTGTTTTATATGTTTACATCGAATCGACGTTATAAAAGCCTTTTTTTTATAGTTTTTTTTTGCTTTCAACATGTGTAATTTCAGGTGTTTTTTTTCTCACCTACCTTTTAAATATTCATCGAGTACAGAAGATTGATCTGGTTGATCAGTTCATAATGAGCTATGGTGGTATTCGAGGTGCCGTATGTTATGGTCTTGTCATGTCACTAGATGCTTCTGTAAGTTTTGTTCAGCTTGACGATATACTGTCAAATTATCTCATGCTAACAAAATCATTTTTAGATAAAAAATAACATTTTTTGTATTAGTAATAGTAATATTAGCTGTGACAAAGTGGTTATTTTGATATATCTTATCATTCAGGATTAATATATCCATGTTATTAATGACTTATCATTCAAAAGTGGCGTGCTTTATAACTGTACAGAATTTCAGGCAGTAAAGGCCAAAAACATGTTCGCTTCATGTACTGTTGTTGTTATTTTATTCACTGTTTTCATACAGGTATGCAAATTTTGACAATATCAAGCAAAATTTTTACAAATTTAATATCTTGATTATTATAAAGTGTTAACCAGAAGTATGATGTCATTTTTTATGCCTATAGCAGAGCACATTTGGAAAAAATATTGCAAGAACAGCTGTATCAAAATTTTAATGCATACAGATCTTTTTTTCAAACATATATTTCAAATAAATATGTTATTTATAGGGTGGAACAATTAAAAAGCTTGTTAAACTATTAAAAGTGAAGCAAAACGATGTGCACAAAAAAACTGTTTTCGAAATGGTTGGCGAAAATGTGTGTCTTAAGAAGATGGTTCCAAATGTTTTCTGAGTTGAATATTCAAAAACATTCATCATGATTGTGTGATCTTTCATATTTTTTGTATTTCAAGACAATCGCTTTAATTCTAGTGTTATATTCAGGTAATAGATAGTATGATGACTGGTATAGAAGGTGTAACTGGTTATCGTGGCCAATATTGGGTTAGTGTTTTCTTTCTTTTTAGCTTTAAATTTGTGCTATTTTTCATGAATCTAAGTAATATCCTTTCAGTGTCGACAAACTTACAATAAATTCACTGAAAATTATGTCAAACCCTATCTGATGAGTAATGCAAAATCTGGAGTGAATCGATTAATTGATTACCACGAACGTATTCAAGTAAATTATTGTTGATTTGTATTATTTGCATTCTACAAGATTTCCCGTACTCATTTTTTGCTATCATTATAGGTAAAAGAAGCAGTCAAGCATTTCAAAGTGTATGGTAGTTTTGTTGGTTTACCAATTGCGCAAGGTAAATCAAATAATGAAGAAGTGTGTGCTGAACCTATTGAAATGATTGAGACGTATGTGTTTCCATTTTTCTATTCTTGGCATTTTGCTTTTTATCTTTTATCATTTATTCAATCATGATGTTAACACTAATGCATTTTAACTGTATGAATTCTTTAGAAAGGAACCTAGGCTGGATATGGAATCAAATGGTTTGATCACCCCAGTGGAAGTACGAACAAAGATACCTCGGAACGATTCAATTAGCTTATTCTTGAGAGATAAATTCAGTGAACTCAATTCGGTATTGGTTTTATGATTAGGACTTAATTTTTTATCGTAGTAATTCATTAATTATTATATCCGCTTCTGCTGAAAGTTCATCCTGTTTCAGCCTGTATCGAAAGGTGTGTACAGTCGACATTTACTGGATGTTGACAACACACCTCGTACTTGGTTCAAACGTCAGTATTTCAATAAGGTAAGTCGGGTACAAATAATAGTGTAGTGATATTATACTAGGAAAATCATCTGGTATTTCTTGTTTACATATTTTGTCAAAAATTACTAAATTGGTTTAATCCTCACAAAAAATAATCATTGGTTCTTTGCAATGCAGTAATGGTATGCTTGGTTTCCATTTCAATTTAATTCAACATGAATGTTGCTTTAACAGCAGTATTTATGCTCCAATTTGCGATTGAAATGTGGTTTTTTTGTGAATAATTTCATTTTTAATTTTCAGGGTAACTCGTTTGATGCACTTGAAAATGAAGCATATCATATGACTTATCCGTACTGTAAAAATACTCGCATAAGAAGACAACGGGCGTATGACGTTACTAATTCTGATCAAAAGGAGCTTTGGTTCGAAAAACCTGTTATCACGTCAGAAAAAAGTAATGACAATGATGCGTCTACCTCCAATGATTCTGGTATGTTTTTATTTTATGCGTCGGATTGCAAGTACTAATTTCTTTCCTATATTCTGTTCCAGTAATTTCAGTTTTTTAAAATAGTTTCTGTGGAAATATTGCAAGTAAATTTTGCAGCAGGAAAACCTCGTTTTCTGATTTTAAATGAATTCGAGTCTGTTTCAAAAACCAATGTCTCATGCTCTCCACGTCGAAAAAGTGCTGATCCGGATTTAGAAAAATGTATGACATAAAATTTCTAAAATTTTTAAAATTATTATATGTCTTCATTTTTTTCACTGAAACGGTTGCATAGTACCTCTAATCTATCTATTCATTTTAGTAATTGATATGGGCAATAATAAGAAGTTGCCCTTATTGAACATGTTAAAATCTTCAGACACGATTACTGGTAAATTTTCCAATTAAAAGAAATTTAATAATTTCTTTTTATCAGAGATTTTTTGTTATTGAGTGATCATTTTGTTTGGTTACTTATTCATGGGGATATTTATGCTTATATTAATATAAATTTACTTGTAAATTTGCAGAAGTTTCCAAAAGCAAACGCTCACAAGAAAGGCCTAAAAAACGCTTGAGCATTCAAAAGGTTTGTTTAAGTAAAGGAAAAATCAGTAAAATCAGTTTATCACCAGTGTGTGAAGTAGACGAAATCTGCGATGTGCAGAACAGCAAACATGATAAAAGTACTAAAAATTTGTAATTATAACGTTATTTTCTGTCTCAGAGGAATATGGCTATTATTATTGATATGAAACTGTTGCAAAGCTTCAAAATTATCGTATACTGATGCTCATCTATCGGACTTTTCACAATTGTTAATATCATACTTTTGAAGCTGTGCGTCATTTAGCATAATGAATTTGCTACTATGCACATCGAAAGATTTGTTGCTAATATAACAATATGAAAAATTGCTGTGAAATCTAAGTGCAAAAATAAGATGGTATTAATATGTATAAAACAATTTCACGTTTTTGTTTTCCTGGTAATTTTTATCTAAACGCGCCTTAATATTACTGTATACGGTAAAAATTTAGTACATTTGTATTTAATTTTTTCTTTCGTTTGTATTTATGTTTGATTATTTTTCATAGTTTATACATTTATTGCTTGAATAGTAAAACGAATTTATTCCTAAGATGTATCTTACTCAACTTCATGTGAGTTAATAGTTATTTACTTTTTAATTCTGTTGAAGTAAGAATTTATTAATTTTATTTATACTTTGTATAGTTTTTGTGTTTAATCTTTTGAAAACTTTTATCGGTCAATTTACATTTTTCGAAAATTGTAAGTACCCAAACATTGAATATTTAAGTAATAATTTAGGTGATTTGGTTTGAAAAATATATTCTTGATACCGTTCATTCCATTCCAATATCTCATGTTTTCACTTGCTAGATTCCATTTGTTAATCTTCACTTCTAGTTCTAATTCATGGAATTACTCAAATATTATTTTATTCTGTGCCTTTTTTTGACTTATTCCAATTTAAAAAAGTTACTTTCATATCAAATCTTTTAGTCTGTTTTCCACTTTTGTTATTGTTCTTCTTATTTATCCACCATATTTACATAATTTTTTGTTCCGTTAAATTTATTTGTCTTCATCATTAAGTTCCTTTTTTCACCGCTGTTACTCTGCCTTCAGTCATTTAAAATCTGCGAAAAAGAAATTATTGATTACAAGACGAAGTAGTAGGGAATATCCTATCTTCAGATATTCATATCAACTTCATTAAATTAGAGACTTATATGTGATTATAAGGAATGATAAAGAAAATATGAAATAATTTATTCTCATCTAAATTATTTCATATTTTCTGTATTATTTTAAATTTGATAATTTTCGAGCAGTTCTTTGATAGTGTAAAAATGAATTGTTTTTGCATACTATTCGAGTCAAAAATAACCTTCAGTTGTAAACAGTACTACTAGAAAAAAAAATTGGTAGATCTATTTATTTTATGAAATTATTGAACAATTTACGGTACGCCTTAGTAATTTTGAAACTTTCTGTTCAGTTTGTTACATTTTCGATAAAAATATTTAGTGTTTGGGAAATATGTTTGTATAGTTTCAAGGGCTAGAAGCTACAGTCAAATCACAACATCGTAACTAATTCGTTGTTCTAATGAAGCGTGTAATTCTGTTCTCATTCATGCATGCTTTACTTTGAAGGATAATGTAAACCACCGATTTGTTTATTAATGCATTCATTAAAATAGTAGTGTATATTTTATAAAATTATCGCTATAGTTTTGTTGTCATAGAAACTAAGCCTTTTGTTCACCTAAATGTGGTCTTTAGGATTGCAAATAACTAATGTGAAAATGGGTCTTTCTAATAAGTTATTTTACTCTAACATTCATAAATTTGTCTATCATTTTTGTTCATTAAAATGCAAGTGATTTATCTTTTTGCATCAAATTGCCTTATAATTTAGGAGGTCAATTTGTTTTCAAGTAGCCTCTGGTCAACATGTACGGATTGAGACAGGAAATTCTGGAATCGACTGGTAGTGCTTCTCATTTAGCAAACAATTTGTCAATTTTCTTTCATGAAACACAGAAGCTAATATTTGCTAGCGTAATACACAAGAATGAAGTTTGTTCTCTTCCATGCGAAAGTATTTTATGATATTAGCATGTGCTTGCAGCATTTTCAGAACTTAATTTACCGGAAATTTACATGGTCATTTATTTGTTGTGTGCTCATTAAATAATATTCATCTTTTCTGAAGCCTATGTTTTGAACTTTGGCATCTGTTTGTTTTTATGCATACTTTTTAATTATCCAATAAAGATATGAATTAAATTGATGTCTCATTACTGCAGTCAATATTTTCAATACTAAACATGCTAAAACAAAAGTTTTTTATTTTAAATTTAAAAGGCTGAAACTATGAAGTTGGACAGTTTTAAAGTTTTTTGATGCTAAGCGCAATTTGTCACTATAAAGTTGTTCATAAATAAGGTATGTTGTGGTACATCTTAGCAGTTTTAATCAAAATTAACAACATTTTTGCTGCAAGAAAAATTTTGAAAGAAGAAAAAATTACATATCTTTCTAACCACCTGAAATTTTAGAAGATACAATTATCAATATTTCACAGAAGCTTCCTTTATAATATTCCACTGATATTTCAGATTTGCGTACTATCTTGGAATCAAAATCTAATTTCACGTGATAATTTGTCAATCAACCCTGATAAGTCTAATACATCTTTTAGTGTGTTACAAGCAAAATATTGTATGCCAACCTGCAGAACCTTTCCACTTTTAGTTGTTGCAACTTCTATAGGAATAAAGGTAATTTAATTAAGCACCAAACATAAACTGTGATTTCCAAAGTTTGCAGACGTTTTTGTGGATCTAACTTTCAACATTATTTAAATAGCATTTTCAAGTTTTGTTACTTTTTACAGATTTATGATGTGAAGACATGGAAATTACTTGCTTCGAGAGAAATGACTTGTGTTTGTTTCTCTTTCTTTTTATTTGTAGTTGATATTTCTCGGATAATTTGTAGCTAACATTGTTCATACAGTAATGACTTTCAAGCTAAAATTAAAATTTGCAATTTGCCAAGTTATTTTATGAAGCAAATATTACTCTATTCTTCATTGCATTTTTTCAGGTAAAAAAGCAAATGAGAAGTGAGCAAGTATATCAATTTAATAAAGGAATTACTTATACAGATAACTTGATTGCTGTTGGTAAATGGAATACATTTAATTTGTACTGATACATGAGCAATTTTTCTTTCTAATCTGATGCCATCTTAGTCCGATTATTAAATGTCTTTTCTATTCAACTTTCTCTTCTATTATTTTAATGCTTTCAGGTTCACATTTAGGAGAATTACTAGTATTTGAATGCTTGAATGAAAATACCATAATTTTCAAACAAAGTATTCAGGTTTCATTTTTTAGCACTTATTTATTTTTATTCCTTTTAATTTTGGTTATATTTTGCTATATTCTTGGTTTTTCTGTGCAAAAATTTCAGGAGCATAATTATGCAATATCTGATATGGCAACTTATCATTTTGATAAATTAACATGCTCTTGTGATGTTTTGGGTGATATTGTACTTTGGCATAAGGACTTTAAAACGGTTCAAAAAAAGTTTAGCACAGGGTAAGTAGGAACCTTTACAACTCATAATGATGATTACATAATTTTTACCTAATATGTCAAAAAAATTTTTTGTAATATGTATCAAATTATATTTCATAGCCATGAAATTAACTGCATCAACATCCTGAGAAAATACATAATTATTGGCACCTTCACTGGTCAGTTATTAGTTTATTCCTGTTTAAATGGACAGCTAATGGCCGAAATTCATGCCCATATTCGTCAAATCAATGCAATTGCTGTTGCTCCTGAAAGTGATTATGTATGATTATGATATTATTCTTTAGATTGCTAAGTAGAATTTATTTGTACAAATCATCTTTACTGATATTGAAAGTTAATGGACATTCTTGAAGAACTATTAAGTTTTATGCTGAAATTTTTTCAAATTTTATAGCTCAAATTAATTTGAAATATATAGTTCTTGTTGTTTCAGGTTACAAATAGTTTCCATCATTTATTTCAGATGATATCAGTCAGTGATGATACGATGATACGTCTTTGGAAATTATATACTCATGATAATGAAACTTTTCGGGTTAGTGAGAGCTATAAATTTCGCTTATTTTACAGTTGTTTTTAGATATTAAATCAAAAGCGATAAACTTTAAAATTTTTAATGTGCATCTCTGATTTAACTATGAAAGTGATCATAGTCAGTAAATAATATTGGAGGATTTTTTTTTTAAATATCATATTATGCTTTTTTATTTTCTCGTATTACATAAAATAAGAAAAAAAGAAAGAAACATTTTACTTGATTTTCACTTCTTATTAACTACTGAAACATTGCTATTGTTAAACTTTTACTCTGCGATTCGCTAAATTTTTTGTATAGATAATGTTTTCATTTTTTTTTGTATATATTTGTTCATTTCTTTATTTTTCATCGCTTATTCAACTATTAATTTATGTACTCAATTAAAGATTGAATGGCGACAAAATGAACAAAGAGAAAACATGCCATTGGTGGGTGTACAGTTTGTTGATGGCTGTGGAAGTGGTTTTGTTGTAACAGCCTATGATCACTACAAATTATTTTATTATCAAATAGTAAAACAGTGATAGAAATAAATTATCTAACTGTTACATAAATCTTGATTTAAGGATGTTTTCTTTGAAAAATTAAAAAACTCGAATTTCGAATTGGCTTAACTAACTTAACTAATCGGCCTAACTATTTTCATCATTCTTTTTTTTTTTAAATTTTGAAACTAAATAATTTAGAAACACAAAAACAGTAATGATAGTATCCTGCTCTTGGTTTTATAGTTTAGGACTATTTAAGTGAATAAATTTAATCAGTATTCAGTATTTACGTTTGGAAGCACTGATTTTTGAAGTCTAAGAAAAATAAATGAGTTACAAATATAAACTAGGAATCTAAAATAAGCTTGTTAAAATTATTTTCCTTGCAAAATTTCAGTTGATTTATGGTGTTGAACATGTAATAGTTTGTTTATAATCGCATATTTTAGCATCTATCAGTCTCATAATGATGATCTTATAATCTCATAATGATGATCTGTATCACTTTTATTGTTGTCGTTCACCAATAATTCTTATTTTTAATTATCATGTATAGCCTTGCATTTTAAATTTTGCTTTTGATAGTTTAAAAAAATTATTGATATTGTGATATTATGGGTAATTAGTATAAAATATTGACTATCATCAATTTTATAGTTTAGAATTTGATTCAGTTGAGTTGCTAGTGTAAACTTTAATTACTGCAAACAGTGATTTGATAGCTTCATTGTTTTATCAAATATGACATTAAATGGGGCTTGTCAACATGTGTCACACCACTGATAAATTATATTAAGTCATTGAAATAAATCAGTCCTAAAATAGTGTACAGATATAAAAACAAGCGATACATTTGAATTTTTTTAATGACAAATGATTTATTCACTGGGTTTAAACGTATGAAATATATACAACTAGGTTGGCTTTAATATGAATGGAAATGAAAAATATGAAAAAATAGCACATGCATTCTTCATTACTTCTATTTTGAAAACGCAAGCATAGAAGTTTTGTAACTAAAGATAGACAGAATAACTGCTTACAATCATATTAGAGCTTCAAATATTAAACGCAGAGAATTTTTTTTAATCTTTTGGATGAACAGCTATGAAGCCGCTCCAAATTAACCAGCACTAATGTACATAATACAAATTTTATTAATTGTGGCAGCAGTAAAATACTAAATATACTTAATATTTTCTGTAATGAAATATAGAGAAAAAGTAATAGTCAGAAATGCATAATTGAGTGTATTTTCCCATAGTGATTTCAGGAATGCATTAAACAGCAAGGGATTAACGATATTGTATGAGGTAGTCAATGAATTTATTTGAAAACAAAATGTATTTGTAAAAGTTTGCCATGTACGGCATGTGTAAAAATTATAAAATTCATCATACAAGTTTGGATATTTTTACGCTATCTTATTTGTGCATTCAGTAGTGTCTAGTTATAAAAAGCCTAATTTTTCATTCATACATATTTTTTGTACATATGTAAATTAATACAATTTCTTTAGTAAAAGATGCATATATATATATATATATATGTATATGTATAATCTTGAAAATTGTTGTCAAACACAAAATTGTCTATTCATCATGAAGAATTGCAAACATAAAAGATGCTTTCATGTTTGCATTTTTTGTGTGTTACGGAAATATAATAAAAGTTAGTGAAACCGAAATCCAGATAATCGTAGTGCCTGTTGAACGATAAATTCAAGCGTGTATCCTTTGTAAGAACCAGTCATTTGTCATTTCTTTCATTTATTTATGCCTGTTTATTTTTACAATCATCGATATGTCCGTAATTTTGATTTTAATTTTTGTTATAGAATATAACTTTGAATTGTTATTTACAATTTTATTGAAAATTTACTCACACACTAATTCTTTTTTATGCATGCAATTTTCTATCAAAGTTAGAAGAATTTAGCAGCTTCTGATTCTTTAGTTTCATTATCCTTTTTACTTTTTATTCTGCTAGCAATTTTTTGTCTTTAACCTCTTTTCTCACTGATAAATTCTGACTTTTCAATGCAGCTGACAACTGCCGCACTGCTAACAATTAAGGGATTTTTAGGCTGTTTTATTATTCTATTCTCAGAAATAAATATTTAAGTTTTAATCCATCAATTTTATGTTATCTCAGAAATTTTTTAGTACTTCATATGTATTATTTACAAAATCGCTTCTTAGTTTCATCAAATCTTAAAAAATCTAACTCAACATTTTTTTGATAGTTCTTAATGTCTTCATATTCTAATTCAAAGATTGCATCTATTATAACACCAAATATGAAGCATTTGTGGTTTCATGTCATCATACTCAAAATCTTTTGCATAATTACACTGTTATTAACCATATATATGGTCATTCAAAATAATAAGATCAGTTTTTTTGATATCTATCATTTGTTATATTTGAAAATTTATATCATTCTTTCCATAAATTTTTTATTTTTATATCTACTTTGTTACTACTGAATTGTGCAGTAAGGTAAGGTTTTAATCCGGGGAGAAAACTAAAATTGATTACAATGGTTTTGCTATGAAAATTGAAAATGCACAGGGAAAATTTCATGCGATAAAACAAGAGTTAAAATATCATCCATATATCATTTGTTAGAAAAGCCGTTGAAAATGATGGTGCTGATTTTAAATACACAACTCCTCCCAATTGAACCATTTTTAAATGCTTTTGTTTGACATATATGGATGGTATTGAATCATTTCTGTTGAGCAAAATGTCTCAATTCTATTCAAAATTTTCAGCCGCTTCTCTTGTAATATGCTCCGTAAGCATTGTATAAGTACTTAACGTTATTTTTTCTTTCTAGTTGGATTTTAAAATTGTAACTGAATCTCATTTTTATCAGTAATACTTTTATGATTAGTTTAATTTTTTCTGAAGATAGTATGGAAGTGTTTCAACGAATAATGATGAAACGCTTAGATGAACATTCTTATAAACGAACTGCCAAACGCTTGGTATTTGATGATAGTTCGAGTGATGCCAGTTTCAGTGATAAGCAAGTGATTACTAATTGCGGTTCATTTTACGATATGTAAGTTTCATAAAATTTCATTTGTCACATGTTTTAATTAATCATTTTATCAAATGACATTATTTTAAATTCTAATTTCATGTTGCAATAAACTTTTGTGTTCGCATATCCTGTATAATTTTCAGAGTGAATAGCAGAACAGCTTGGGCAAGTAATGAATCGACTGGTAACACTACAGTTAATATACCTTTTTCAGCAGCAGAAAGCTTAAATAATATTCCACCAAATTCAATGTATCAAAGTGAACCCATTTCTACCATCACCACAACTGCTATTAAAGATGATCTTAGTCGTGCCGATAAGTTATTACGAAACGTACATCATTAAAAAACTTAACAATACGAATTTCGATTTTATTTTGCGCCAATAAAAATTGATGAACTGATAACTGTCACTAGAATACATCAAATATTTGTAATAAATGATCTTTTATAACAATTTTTCAAATGATATTATATGGTAAAGTTTTAAAAAAATGAAGCTAATCAACTTTTTTTACATTATATTTTATAATTTTAATTTACTTGGTTTAAATTCAAAAGGTGGCTCGTTATTTTTATTGTAGGTTGCAGTGAGTATACGAAAAAGATTATTGGGTACAAAGCCATTAGTTAACAGTGAAAAGAGTGTCTGTAAAGTAAACGAATATACTACTAGCAGTCATTATAACGAAACGTATGACAGTCAGAAAATTGCTTCAAAATTCGAAGGGAAACAAGAAAAACAATTGGGAGCGAAACGAACTAAAAAGATGGTGAAGTTTTTTTATTTTTTCAGATTTCTACTTTCAAATGCATGCAAATGTAAGTCCAAAAGAATATTCATTAATGCATTGGCAAAAACTGAGTCTTAGCTTTGTATGAATGATATTAAGCATCATTAGTAATTTAACATTTTTTATCACAAATAGAGCAGTTTGAGTTAAATATTTAATTACTGGATTGTAATTTTATTTTTCTCTGTTATCATATTGAAGTTTAAGTCTTTAGCAATATATTTTGCAAAAAAACAACAAATGTTTAGCCTTTACAATCATTCAGGCTTTCTTTCTCTCTGCTTCAAGTCGTAATCATGAAAAATATTTGTATTTGATGAAAGATTTTGTTAAATCTGCTAATAGATATTTTGAAACTAAATTTAAGCAATTTTAAGTCTGATTACTGCTGCTTATTTTCATAATTTTTGAGTCTAATACTGTTGATTCATTCTGTTTAATCTAGCTTATTTAAGATTGATTTTGTTGATGTATGTACAATTGGTCGTAGGCATCGTAATGAGCATCGAAAACTTCTTAACGAAGATTTTGACGACAGTTGGTGAAAATGCAACAACATTTTAAGATGAATTTTCATCAAAAAATTATTCTTTCGCAGTAATCAACATTTTAATTTTTCTCAAAGAAGTCACTTTTGATGTTATTAAGTACTAACTGAAATAAACGGGCAATGAATATTGTTGACTTTATACATTCAATAAACGATGAATATTTTTGCTGACAACCACAAATATAATGTGAAAGGAATGATTTTTTAATCCATTTTCCTTTTGTGCTAAAAAATATAATACATTATCTGATGAATTACTTTATCCTGGAAAAATTTGGCCATTTGCTTAAAGAATGAAGAATGTCAATGTTATTCACTAATTTTGTACATAAATGAAAAGAACAAAAAAAAGAAAAAAAGCGTAATAACAATTCAAAAGTTTCAACAACGTTTTCTTTATGCCTTTTCTTGAACTATTTGAAACATGAATCAATTTTGTGTTTAGTGATGATTGTTTAATGTCGTATTAGTTTAGTGCACCAACAAAGTAACTTATACTAACTAGTGCTAACTTTTTATTCAAATTCAAAAATTCAAGAAAAAAAACTAATAGTCAATGACTATTGCAATCATTGCTGGACAATTTTTGAAAATGAAATCAATTAATTATTCAGGAAAGCTAGAAAGCTGCAAAAAAAGGATATGTTTTGAATATATATTGAGTAAAAATTCCGAAAAACATTTCAAGAACTAATAATGTTGGTTTTCTTTGAATATTTAATGCAAAATATGAATATGTTATGAAAATAATGAACATGTGGTGTTTGCCATTTGCAAAAACGTCAATTGCTTAAGCAGAAATCAAATGGTAAAACTAAGTTGTTAACATTTACTACATTCATGAAAATAAGCAGAAAAATTCCAAACACTTTTATGCACCTGGAATGTTTTAAAGCTAACAGTAGTTTAAGTCGTTGAGATAAGATATATGGAAAAATACATATCTTTGTTAATTTATATTCAAATTCCCATCCATTTAGTTTCAATTTCTTCCTACAAAAAAATTTCTAATGCAATATTTGCAAAATCATATATTACCACACATATTAAAGGATTCAGAAATTTTACAGACTTTTTCAATTTTATACATATATTAATATGAAACTGGAACTTAAAGTTTGTGCATTTTTTCTGACTATTCTTGAATTAAAATGTAGATACAATGATTAGTCAAAATATTGAATTGGATTCACAAATACAAAATAAACTGCTTCATTTTTGGTACTGTTCATGATGAATACGTCATAAAGAAATATACTTGTAATGAAATTGCAATTTTTTTTTTCATCAAAAATGATGATTAATTTTTTATAAGACAGCAATAAATCACAATACTATTATTATTTATTTGCATTTTGTTTGTGATAATGTATGCATTTTAATGCATAGGCAATCAAAAAAAAAAAAATTTTGCTTACAATCGTGACCTGTGTCTGAAGGTAAAACTACTATACATTTTTTTCCGTCATTCTAATTTTTTTATATTTAGTTAAATTTGCCGCTATGTGAAATAGTTTTGAAAACTCAAACAATTTCAATTTTAAGCTGCATATACTATGTATGAATGCAATAACAAGTATGCCACATTGAGCTTATTTATAGAACTGCATAAAATAAGTGCTTCAGTTACATTAATTGTTATTATCATGATGACGAAAAGTTAACAGCAGAAAGTTTTTTTTCGAATTTATCATTTCTATGAATAATTTTTGTATACCTTAAAAAAATGATAATTTACAAAAAATTATTCGTTCAAATCTTTAGTTATGTTCTCAAATATATTTGCTGGATCAAACTTAATGAAAAGTAAATGTGGCGATTGACTCTTTCTAAAATTATTAAATGTTATAAAATAAAAAAGTCATTTTATCTGAAATAGTCATTTCACCTGCAAAAAGTTGAATTATAAAACTGAGGATAAGCTTTGCTGCAGTAAAGTTAAATGCATTAAGTAGAAGCAGTAAGGTTAATAAAAGAGGAAAAATCAAGAAGCTGTTATTAATTAAATATAAATAAGCAGCAATTTACTTAAAATGATCCAGAAATTATTTTGTTCAAAGCTTGTTGATGATTAATACAAGAAGTTAAAACACTTGTATGGTTTTTATGCTTAACTTTATCGCTTTATTATAAAAATAATAACTGACAGAAAAAAAAAAGAACAAATTTATGCAATTGTTATTATAATGTAGAAAATTTTTTCTTGTGTAAAGCACAAATATTGAAAGCATGCTTCCGCCATAATTCAATATGCAGCAATCTTTCGATTCAAGCTTTATTATTGATAAAAGAATCTGTAACTAATGCTTCAATGTATTCCTTCTATGTACTTCAATACTTTGGAAAGAAAAGTAAATTTTATTAAATCTTTCTCGTGTTATAATGAGAAATGGCAAATAAATTTTTGTGGTTCTGTCTTTTGTAACTATTATTTATTTTGCAATTTTTCTTCCTTCTAGTTTCATCTAATTTTTAAAATATTCTTTGACAGTGCAACTTTTAAAAATACATTTTCATATCTATTTTATATGGTAAGATGGACTGTATTATTCTTTACAGCAATCCAACTTGCGGCTCTAACTCACACAATATTACAATAATAGCACCACTTTTGTATTTTATCTCAATTTTAATTAACAAATTATTTTAATGTGCTATCATGTGCAACAGTAAAATGCATTCTTGCATTGCTACTCATAATAAAATAGTATGTAGAAAAAGAATCATAAGCATTTTTTGTTTACTAGTACCTTAAAATCTTTGATACTGTGTAAACTGACAAATCCCATGTAAACCTTTAAGTTATGAGCCTTTCCTTTCATGTAAAGCTAAATAATATAATATTGAAATTGACTGATATTTATCAAATATAAATTTTTAAAAATTTTTTGATGCGAAATATTTTGTGCAATGCATACCATGTAAATTTTTTATTTAAACGACAAGTAATTTCAGCATTCTTTTGGTATAATTAAATAGAAACAACGTTTGAACCTAATGCAGAAAAATTTTCCTTCAGAAGAAAAAATCATCTATTATATTGCTTGTATTGTCATTTCTAGCTGAAAACAAATTTTTGAAGATAAATACTCTTGCCACTTATTTATGTATTATCACTAAAACTCTAACATTAGCATTTATTTTTGTAAAGCTTAATAGCAAGATGACTTCAGTTGTACATAATGATTATCATAGCTTTTTTTAAATATAATAGTAATTTAACTAACAACAAATTAAAGGTTTCATTTAAACAAAGAGAAAGCTGTATTTTTCAATTTTTGTAGCAAACTAATTCTAGTGACTTTTTTCTGTAATTCCGTTGTCACATGTAAATGTTAGTCAGTTAAATGATGAAAAAAAATGCTAAAATCGAAAAAATATATTTTGACTTTCTTAATAGATATATGACATCCTTACATATGCCATATCCAATTACTGAATTTTTCATAAATTCTGAAGAAAGAAAGTTGAGACAGAAATTGCTTTAAATCGCAAATAAAACTTAGAAAAAAATCATGTTCGATATCATTATTTGTACTGAATCAGTTGTACAACTTCTAAATCAGTCGGAACTTTTCATTGAATGATTTCTTTAATATTAAATCAGTCAAAACTATTCATTGAATGATTTCGTTAAGATTACGGTATCAAATTTAGTTTTCTGAATTTCTTCTTACAGGTTTTAATAAAAAACTATATAACTGTTTTCACTACATCAGTGGAAATAAATGAGATACATTTTATCGAAATTATCTGATCAACTGAGTAAAATGATTATTTCATCAGAGTTCCATAGATTCACAAAAGGAAATGCTGCACACTTAACACTTGCAGATTAGATTGAAATACTTAAATGAGTACAACAAAACACATTAGAAGCATACAGCTTTCAATACTTTCAATAATTTCACATTAGGAACTGTACTTAACACTGATCATTAACTATGAAAGTTTATGAAAATTTTTTTTTCATACTAATTAATTTCCAAAAATAATCAGTTTTTCCTTTGCAAATGTTCAAGATTAGGATGTTTACGATGATAAATTTGGCGCATTTGAGCATGCTGTGCTGGTTCATGCATTGAATTTGAGCTATGGGTTCCCTTTGAAGTCATGGATGACTGATAGCTGCGTTCACTTAGTCTGTAACTATTAGTATAATTTTATATACCAAATATAAATCATTGAAAAGTAATCATAAAAGCTTGGTAAGTGAGGGCATCAAAACTAACCAGTCATTCGGTAAAATTAAAATCTTTGCTTTATTAACTTTCAGGAAAAATGATTTACAGCATTTATACAACCATAATTCGATACATGATATACTTTTTATTGCTTATATACTACGATTTAATTTATATTCTATATCTAAATTTAATCATGATGTATTCTATTTAAATTAACTTCTGCAATGAAGACCTTGACGATGAGCGTGATCTAGTTGATTGATCTGATGGGACATAAAAGAATATGTCTTTGTCATCTTTTGGTATCTCACTATTAGCATTTTGAATCAAATCTGCAGTAACTTCGTCCTTATTTCTGCAAAAACTTTGTGGAAATATAATATGCTCTAAATATGTACTGTTCATTCCAATAAAGCTTTTTATTTTTGCGCTGGAAATGGCAAGTAATTAAAATGATTTGCATTTGATCAAATGATACTAAAAAAACATCAATGAAGGAAGGCTAATGGAAAAAGTATGACTAATTAATTTTTTTTAATTCAAACCATCAAACCTAAGAGCTGGAATGACTGGAGATTTGATCAATCTTTTTGATGCAGTATCACTTTTGAGTATTTTTTTCTTCTCCCACCATTCCAAAAAAGTTGTTTCTGCTGTTGAAGAAGTTTTTTTTTCGCCATATTTTTCTGGATATTCTAGAAAACTATAAACTATAAACTATAAAATTAATTAGATCAAAATGTAATAAATAGAATACAAATTCAAAAAAAGAAAAAAATTCAAGTCAGTTTCTTTTATTATGATAATAATTAAAACAATTTGTCATCTATCTTAAAAAAATCAAGAATGCGATTAAGTTTAATTTTGTGGCGAGCAGAATTGAGTCCCATACGATTTGCTGTTTGGCTTTGGATTGTTGCTTTAACTACGTTCTGCAAGGCAAGCATTCTAGATGTTCGATGCTTTATGACCAATAATTTTTCTTCTTCTTTACATCTTTCTTCAATCATTTCTTGTTCAACTTTTTGTCTGTATTCATCCAATCTGATACAAGTGAGAAATGATTACGCATCTAAAAGTCAATTCTTCAAATTATAAATTTTCTTTAGTTTCCTCTATAACAAGCATAATTACTTTGCTTTCTCTCTTCTTTCCAATTCCATTTCCATTTGACGTTCTTTTTCTTTTCGACGTCGATTCTGCTCGATTTGTTGTTGTAACTCACGTTTGTATTTCTCTGTGGTATTACATGCATTCATTTTCTGGTATCCTTTTCCACGTGAGGAAGATAATGTTTTACAAAACGATTGTTGTCTACAAGTACTATTGTACGCTGAAAATTTATTACTTGAATTTAATGACTGAAATTGGTAAATCTCAATATTAGTACATTGGTAACTAGACACAGCTTTATGCCGATTGAGTTTTCTTCTCATTTTAAGTAAAATTTTATGAAATTGATTTTCGTGCATATTTTCCTTAAACTGAAATGAAAGCATTAATTGGGGCAGAAAGCAATCACTACTCAAATTTTCCCACTGAAAAGTGATTTCTTGAGAAAAAAAGTTAATAATTTTGATCTAGTTTTGATTAGTGATGCAACTTAAGTTCATCATTTTGCATTGCATGATCTTTAGAATTGATTGAAGATGTCGAAGCTGCATTGGATATCTGAAACTGAAATAATTCCTGTAATTTTCCTATTATCAGCAGAACATTCTCTAGATTATATGTAACGTCTTGGCGGGTGAGAACAAAGACATTATAATTTGCATATAGAAAATATAAGTTCGAAAAATTTTTTGTTTTTGTTTGCAAGCAAGTTCTAAAGATGTGAAAAGTTTGCCTTATCACTACACAAATTTGATTTCTATTTTGTTTTTTATAAGTTTTTGAGTTACTAATTGCATCACTTTTTTAAATTTATCAATATTAAAAGTCACTTCTGCAAAACTTGAATGTTTGTTTCTATTGCTTAAGATGACGACATTTGTTCATTTTTAAATAACAATATCAAATAATTAACCCCATCAAATACAGGATCTTCTCGTATTATCGAAGAAGGTATGTACCAAGAAGGATTTTCACGAACTTCATCCCTCATTTGGAGATGATGGTTATTGCTCCATAGTTGATTCGTTGCATTTTTGACACTGAAAAAAACCAAATCTTTTTTAAATTACAAAGTGTCATAACCATTTATAAAAGTTAAGAATAACAATCAGGAATCTTCTGGTAACACACGTGATTATAAGCCATAATAAAATGGAATTAGTTCATTGCTTTAATAATTAAGCAATTTTAAATTCAGTTGTGCTTAAACATCGGTTTTGCTTAAAATTGACTATTATTTAGTTTACCAAGAAGTTGGAAGTTTATTACTGTCATTCTTTTCTGTACATTTTACTTCGCAATTTGACGTGATCCAGGTAGAAACTGGTTCTGATAAAAAGGCACATGATTGATGCGTTTGATTTCTCTGAAAAACTCATGCATTCTTTTGCTTTCTGTTTGGTTCAAATAATATTTTTTCCTATGCATTCGTCTAGAAAATGGAAACCATAGAAAAAAAAAGAGATGAAAAAAGTTTGGAATACAATATTTTCAAAATTTCATATTATTATTTAACATCAACGCATAAAATAAACACTTAATGAAATGGAAAAAAAAAGAACGAATAATATCGACAACTAACTGGTTCAAAAAACTTTGGAATTGATGATGAAGTACTACTGTTTGTGATTACTGGCTGACAAACAAATGATGTTGATTCAGTTTGAAGCGCAGAATTTTTCTTTATTGGTTCATAGTAAATTTTATCACCAATTTGTACAGGCCTAAGTTCAAGATTTCTCATTTGCTCACTCTTAATTGGCGTAGTTGTTTCTGATGAAAAGATATGTGATCTGCAAGGGCAAATGCTACTGGTAAAACCAGTAGGCAAATGACAATAAACAGGAAAAAATTGATGGTGAATTTGGTGTAACCAAGCTACTTGAGGTTCGAATCTTGTCATCGAGTATTCAAGATGACTATTATCAGTATGTGAGACGTGCTGAAGAGTATTAGCAGTACTATTTTCATTGGCAGCAATGTTGGAAGTATTTCCTTCCGAAATATTTTTATGATTTGAATTATTGAACTGGTCATTATGTAAAGATTGCTTAGTATGTGTACTGCTTGATATAAATGGCAGCAAATTTGTCTTCTTTTTTTCATCTTTATCGATTAAATCACTTAAAAGTGGTAAAGTCGATTGAGTTGATGGATTCCAATTGTATGTTCGAACCATTTGGAACGATCATGCCAACTACTCTCTAAACATAAATACACTTTATTATGTACAGTTATTTAAATTTTAAATTATTCGTGAGTTAAATAATATATGTAAAACAAAATCTGCTTAATGAATTAATAATGAATAACACAATTTTTCCAGTAATCAAAAAATTCATGTATTTTATTCAGCTAGTATGCTGTTTTTTAGTACGCCTCGTTAAGAGAAAAGTATGATTTGAAATTTTAAAAATTTGTAATAACCTAAATTTAAAAAATGCAAATTCCTTGCCATTGTACATTTAACTCATTACCATCAGTACAGCTCACATTATAATGATATAAGTTTGAATTAATTTTCGTTTTGACAACAAAAGAAACAAAAACTTTCTCAATTACATAACAATGAGTTCAATTACCGATTTGGTATTTTGAAAATGAACTGAAGTTTATGACAAACCAAACAAAATGAATGATTGTTTGGTCAAGGATCGTTTAAATTAAAAAATATTACATTTGAATTGAAAGCTTACTTGAGAAAAAAGACAAAGATTATCGTACTTATAGGGGTTTCACAAAAGAATCTTTGAGAAGAATATGAGAATAACATAAATAAGAACCAAATTTGATTTGACTTCGTATATAATATTTATTGGGCATTACTTCATAATATTTACTATATATTTCTACAAGAACTTTTGAATAATGAAAATTATACTAAAGTTTTAAAATTATTTTATCGGCTTAACCAAACGATGTAGTATGCATATTGCTACTAAAAATTTTTCTTAGACAAATTTTCATAGTCTAACAAATTATTAATGTTTTACGATTAATTTTCTTAAGAGACAACTGTGATGTTGGTTGTTGAAATGATACATTTGAAGTTATCTTTTATTAAAAAGTTACGAATTTTATATGATACATTGTTATTTGAAGTCGTCAAATATTAACAAATCAAAATAAATAGAGAAGAAATCTAGGCAAGTAAAAAAACTTAAATATTGATAATCAAAAAACGATGAAATTCAGATCTTTAATATTTAAAGAAAGCACAAATTATTTACAACCGGCAAGGAAGCTAAATTAACTGCTTAGTGCTGCTTCCATTTTTATGCAAAAGTATGTCGATTATGGACTATAAACTTTATACTGCAATTTTGCTCAAAAAAGTTGTTACCTAGGTTACCTAAAATATAATGACAAAAGAGCAGGTAAATCTTTACTATATCTTACTAAAAAATAGCAATAGCTATAGATGTAGTTACGAATACTCTACTCGTAATAATCACTGCATATGATGAAAACTATTCCCTACCATCCATCTCAACCAATTTCAACTTTCTTCTCAATTCTTTAACTAAGAACTTAATACACCTCAAATGTAAGACGATCGACATCAATCTCAAAATGACTGCTTGCAACATTACATCAACAATAGGGATGATAAGCGTTACTGTTTAACAAAATATTAAAAAATATAATCCCTCTATCAAAACGAACCTATCGCACACTTCTTCCCATTGACACAATCTTCCAGTCCTTCGTAAGCGTCACTTGACAAACAACCACAATACTTTTATAAATGAGTTGCATTTGAAGAGACGTCAACATACTTTCACTGCTCGGTTTCTCTTATTAATCAAAAGTCATTTCATATAATGCGGGATACTAAAAGTTTTCGATATCAAAATTTAATATCCAGTTTAATAACAAACAACAAACATTTACTATTCATCTTCAAAACATGTCAACTTTTTCATTCTGCCATAAGTATTTTCCACCTGATTTTCCTCATACCAAACCTACTTTTGTAATGCAACCTCAAAGGACACTGAGTATCGAATAAATACATATACATCCAAATTTCGAACAATCACATTTGAAATAGATTCGTTTGATAATTACATTCTTCAGCACAAACTTTAAAATTTTCCTAATGAGCTTCGTGCTTTTTTTTTGTGAATAATACTATATACAAATTAAACCAGCCTTTCCAAATTACACGTCCTCATTTTATTGAGTTCTTCTCCTTATCAAATCTATGCTCATTTCTGACTGAAACTTACAGTTGAACTGAACATGTGGCAGACATAAACAGTTGACTTTATAATTTTCACTTGCTGTGGTATGCTCCTAGTCTACGAGCAAAAGCCATAAATCATTCCCTTCTATTCAAAGTCATTCTTATATTAAATCCATTTAATCTGGTTCCAAAATACACACTTCATTACTGTGTGCCAACATATGGCGCTTACCAGCTGAATATAATCTATCTAGAATGATTACATTTCAATTCTATAGCAAAATCACATTACTTGAAAACTAAAAATGAAAAGCACCTGAATCGAAAATTTTTATGCGTTTATGTGTACAAAAAATGTTTAGTTTAATAGTGGTATAAATTCACTTGTCACCATTTAAGAAACACAATGTCAGGACTTGATGATGAGAGAAAATTTTATCAAAGAAAATATACAGAACTGATTCATAAATATTACAACTCAAGACAATCCAAGTTTCTGCTTTTGTTTTTTTTTCTTTTTAACCACCTCCATATTTCGTTCTCTCCAGTTACTTTTTCTCAACTTTATTGGTCTATTCCCTACATACTTTCCATCCATTTCACGGCATGCGCGAACGAAATCCTATAAATGTATATTCTGACTTCAATAACGACTTCTCAAAACTTACAATTAATAAACATAAATTTATCCGAAACTTAAAAACTATATGATTTAAGAAACTTACATCTTGGTGTTTGAATGAGACAAATCCATAGCCCTTTGACTTATTTGTCCTAGCTTCACGGATTACTTTTGCTTTCTGAAAACTTGGATATTTCCGAAAAGCTTTCGCCAACAATTCATCCGACACTTCATTGCCTAAATCCCCACAAAAGATACGGAAATCATTAGGATCCCATTCTGCCAACGACTTATCTTCCCAAACCTAAATGCCACAAAAAACCTAAGAATTACCATTACCAAAACAAATTATATAACCATCTCTTTGATAAAAGATCAAACACTTAATAAAAAACATAGGCAATATTTCGTATTTTTTCACCTGTCCGCCACCACAACGAAGAAACCTCTTCATCTTTCTTTCACCCCGCATGACTTGATTAATATAGGTTGAACGATGAGCTGCTTCGAAAAACTTTTTCTGTGCAATGGCCTCTACGTCTGATGCGAGAACCTAGAAAATACTACATTTAAAAAAAGCAATAAAGATGTGAATGAACAGCTGATATTCCTACAACTCTTAAATCATTCTTATTATTGTCATTCAGGAAGTCTGCATGTACACTAAATCTCATTTGTCATAAAGTTACAAATTAAAATTAGAAAAATGATCACGCATCTTTAGAAAATGAATTAACACAACATCTGATACAATTAGTAGAATATGAGTAATTAAACTATTGAAAAACGGTATAAGTGGGTGACTTGAGTTTTCATAGGATTCGATTCAATTACTGCATTTTTCTTTCCACTTTTCATATCAGCTCCTTTCACTGAATCATCATACATACTAGGACCCGATTCAAGAATAACTGGCTGGATTGACATTTGCAACGGAGGACGCATAAAACCAACTAAAGGAAGTCGTAACTGAAAAATAAAAAATACTGAAACATTCTATTAAAAACATTTATTAGTAAAGAATCGGTGAAAGAATAATCAAATTATACCTGGGGTGGTATGAAACGCATTCCTAAGTTCGGTTGGGGTATAAATCCTGGACGCATCATCATGTGAGGTAAGAAGCTATAAAATGCAACCTGATAAGATATAGTGTATAAGGAGAGCAATAGTGATAGAAACTAACAACTGAAATTGATTAAATCCTATTTCTTGCAACAACAAAAAATTTACGGCGGAGGAGTAGGACGAACTGATGAATTTGAAGTATTCGGTACTCCTGAATTATTAAGAAACGGACCCATAACCGGTCTTGTTTCTGACTGCATAGTTGGACCTATAGGTTGTGGTGCTGGCTGAGCTGTTGTAGAGGTTTTTGAAGTAGGTGAGTCTGGAGAACTGGATACCGATGACAAATTTGGATTTGAAGGTGAATGCTCTGTATCGGTGATCGTATCATTTTGAGTTTCTGTTTCCAAAGCAGCTATTTCTCGCTCAAACCTTAAAAAACAGATAGCTAAATATAACACTTCTGCTTAAATAGACCTTAAATAGAACTGGAACATTTTACAGGCATCACTTCCACACAACATAACTACTCGATAAAACGTCCCTCGCTACTTAATGTAACGTATTTAAAAAAGTGATCATAGACGAAGGCTATTTTATGTTCATGGAAACAATTTTCAAGAATGAGTCAGTTCTCTGGAATTTGTTATAACTCGATACAATGATATAAACGATAGTTAGATTAACGAATTAAAAATAAATGCTGTTATTTTAAGAAGCTTATTTTCTTTAGTCTCGATACACAGTAACTTAAATTTCAATTGATTTTTGGCTATAAAACCATTTAGTTAGCGACAATAAAATGAAAAGCGATTCCGGAAGATAAATTTAATGAATAAGCTAAGTAACTTTATCCAAATATGAAGAGGCGTTGAGAGAAAAACATACAGCTTTAATTCGTCATCGATGTTATGATGTTCATCTTCACCAAATGTTGATATCATTCTGATATCGCAAACAGCTGAAAATATTGACAGAAATTGAATAAATAAATACATTGAAAATCATTGAAAGTACTAAATGACACATTAAAGATCTAGCATGCTCCTTTAATTTATGGAAATTCACAGCATAACCAAAGACAGCATCGATAAGCATTACCATTATGATGAAGTAACTAAAATCCAGAATACATAACATCAACACATTTAAATTAACGCATTCGCATCATCCCTTCTCTCACCATTTTATAAACATGAGAGATGAAATAAACTTGAGGTATTGTTAGTTAGTGAAGAGAGACAAGAGAGTTAGAGTTCTCGAAAAACTGAAGTTTGACGGTTAAGAATCATTATGCGATAATTAGAAAATGTTCGGAATCAAAATGGGCAAGTAATGGGTTTGCTAGATTCAAATTCTGAGAGTTGTTTGCTGTAAATTGATGTGGAAGTAATCGGTAAAGAGTATGTTGAATTAAAAAGAGGTCAAGATAGTGGAATGCAGTTAATTAATGTTTGGTTCTCTCTTTCTGAGTGTGCGTTAATTTTGTCTTATAATACTATTTGATAACTTCGTGATTAAAAGATGGAACGATTTATAACAATGATTTCAATATGTAGTTATATTTTTATGTCAAGATATAATTAATCGAGAGTATATCAATCATTATGCGTAAGGCTGCTGTAGCTGCCGCCAGCTTCTTCGCAGATGACGATGATGATGCTGAATCTCCTCGTAAGTTCTTCACTGTGTACTGTTTATAAAAGTTATTGTTTTCTTTAAGTAACAAACACTAAATTATGATGATAAATTATGATAGAGAACATGATTTGCAGCTATTTCGGGTGGTGAAGATGAAATTACAGAAGAAGAGTGGAATATAACAAAGGACTTTCTTGTATCTTTATCTTTGGAAGATAACAATCATCAAGTCAAACGAGAGCAGTATCGCAAATACATTAATTCGATGTTGAAAAGCGGTGGTGGTGAAGGGATCGCTGAAATCGGTGTTTCAGTTCTGGACATCGCAGATCGAGGTATGACTTACGCACAATGACAGCATATAATGAAAAGAGGATTTAAAATTTTTTAGGTCTGTCAAAGGAAGATTTGGAAGTGGCGGAAAGAAAACATCTAGAACTTTTAAAAGCGACCGACATCACCTCTACACATTTATTAACGAGACAGAAAGGCAGTCTCTACACATCACTTCATCTTCTTCGAAAAGCAGTTGATCAAGATGACTTCATAGAGGTTGACTCAAAATTTTGAACTTGTCTTTGTGATATTTTTATTTACTGTTCATTTCTTAGATCCGCGTAGCAGTTGTGGGTAATGTAGATGCAGGAAAATCAACATTATTGGGTGTACTAACACACAATATTTTGGATGATGGTCGAGGGCAAGCTCGACAGAAGTTGTTTCGGTGCGTCTATCTTGTAATTTATCATTATCCATGCACAAATATGGGTGTGCTCTTTGACTTTTTTATTGCGTGTTTTAAATGACACTTAAAATTTCAGCCATAAACATGAATTCGAGTCAGGTCGAACATCGTCCGTCGGTAATGACATCCTGGGGTTCGATGTAAAAGCTCATGTTGTCAATAAACCAAATGTGCATAGTGGACAACTTGACTGGGCTGCTATTTGCTCTGAATCAGCAAAAGTACTCTAGTTTTTTTGAAATTCTAAAGATGGATTCAACTGTTATTGAAGTTTTTCACTTCTTATTTTCGGGTTTCATCAAAATTCTTTACAGGTAGTCACATTTATCGATCTAGCTGGACATGAAAAGTATCTAAAAACAACAATATTTGGAATGACTGCTCATGTTCCGGATTACACAATGCTGATAGTACATTACTTCTATCGTTACCTTATTTGTAAAAAATATATTAGATAAAGCTCTGAAAAACATTTTCTACATGAGATCTATTATAGCTTTGCCCAAAAGGATGTATAGATATATCAAACTCGCCTATGTTTTCCAAATTTTGCTATTTTACCTCTTAGCACTATAATGTGATTGCTTGTTAAGTTGTTTATGTAGCCATATCATATGGTAGCAAATGCTGCAAAATAAATCGTTGTATATTGTCATGTTATATATTTATAAGCAGTAATTTAAGATTGGTGCTAATGCTGGTATTATTGGGATGACGAAGGAGCATCTATCGCTCACTTTATGTCTCAGTATACCCGTATTTATCGTTGTTACGAAAACTGACATGTGTCCTCCTCAGGTAAATTTCTTCTTGCTGTAATTATTGGACTGTTATCGTGTCTTTATTTGTTTTAATTGGTCTTTTCTTTCACCAAACATATCTAAATGGTAACAATATCCAAAATTTTCACCCCTCGTTTCTTTTTTCCATAAAATATGTATGAGTAAGAGATCTCACCTATGATTTTTCAAGATCCTTTCGGAAACGATGAAAAATTTGGATAAACTGGTGAAAAGTCCTGGAGTGCGGAAGATGGCATTGGTCGTCAAAAATTTAGAAGATGTTCTTCACACTGCTTATCATTTTAATGCTGGAAAGTAAATTTTGTAAAACTGTGAATTGAAATTCATAACTGATCATGCAATAATCGCTAGATCTTTCATATCAAGGTATGTTAATAAGAAAATCATCGACCTGGAGATTATCAGTCATCAGGATTAGTGAAAGATGATGGAAGTATTTTTTTAAAACATACTACAAAAATTGTGTTTGCATAATCATAGTATTTAAAACATACTAAATATATATTTACGTATAGCTCCTATTATTTTAATAAAATTTTCAGGGTCTGTCCAATTTTCCAAGTATCGAATGTTGCTGGCACAAATTTAGATTTGCTTCGCCTATTTTTCAATCTTCTTCCTTTTCGTAAGAAAAACTCTCACGATGATCCGGCTGAGTTTCAGATAGATGATGTATATTGGGTAGATGGCGTTGGTACCGTAGTTGCGGGTACATGTTTGTCTGGTTGGTTCTGCTATTTCGTACGTAGGGATCATTGATGTAATAAAAACATATATAAATTGTTGCTTTAGATTGTTGCATGGATTGAATAATTTTTATTGGTAGGTAGGATCTCAATAAACGATACGATGTTAATAGGCCCAGATCTTAATGGAGAATTCATTCCGATCCCAATTAAATCAATTCATCGTAAACGAATGTCTGTGTCTAAAATAGAATGCGGTCAAACTGCTTCTTTTTCCATAAGGTTGGTTTTTATTCTATATTTCTTACTTCTATGAGTTCAAACTTTAAATAACTTGATAGACTTTTGGTATTGTACAATTTAATAATAATTTTTAATTGCATAATATAGGAAGTTGAATAAAAAGGATGTACGAAAAGGAATGGTGTTACTTTCCCCCAAAATAAACGCTGTTTCTTCTATCCAGTTTGATGCTGAAACATTAATTCTTCATCATCCAACGACAATCGCGGAGAATTATCAAGCAATGGGTATATATGTTTTTATCATTATCTTCTTAGATCAGCTGTATAGATCACAATTTGTTCATTACTATTAGTGTTTGTAAATATCAACAATCATGAAAAATTTTTAAAAATTTTCAAGATGATCAGAGCGTAGTGGTTCTAAAATTTTTTTGATTAGTGAGAAAAACCAAAGGCTACATTCAAGCTAAAGATTCTTCAATAGATTTAACTTTAGTGCATGTCGGTTCTATTCGCCAGGCGGCAACCATAATTAAAATGAATAAGTCGACATTGCGAACTGGAGATCGAGATTTGGTGACATTTAAATTTATCAAGAATCCTGAATATTTACGAGTTGGAAGTCGTATGGTGTTTCGTGAAGGTCGGACAAAAGCTGTGGGGACAATTGTTAGAGTGTATCCATTCAGTTCAGTTGGGTCTTCGAAGCAGTTTCGATCAAAAAACATGAAATCCAAAGGTCATTATTAAATTTCGCCATCATTGGTCCTTTTTTTTCATAGATCTGAATACAAGAAAAATATTACTTTGTGTTGTTTGAATAGCAAATGAGACATAAAACAAGTCTCATTTGTCGTGGAGCTATCATAAGTGAAAGGCAGCAAGAAGTCACTCCTGACATATACTTGTTTTATTTCACTTGTTTAAAAATTTATTTTGTGTAACAGACGAAAAAAAATCATAACTACATAAAATTTAAAACACTGCAGGAAATTGGCGCAGCAGAAGAAATGTTTACTAACAACGGTAAAATTAGAGAAGTGAATACAATACAAACTGTTATTGATTGAATAAACACTTCCATCGGATTGTAATTTGATTGTGTAAAAAAAAGATGTCTGTTGGTTTTCTTTTGCTTAAAAATATGGGATTCATTCGTTAAAGTATACAGTCCTATATAAATGAGCGCAATTTTGTCACAAATACAGCATTTAATTGTGACGTATGATATTTTTGGCACTAGCAATTCAAAAATCGTAACGTACTTTTTATGACGCAAATTTTAGCAAAAGAAATAGTTCCTTTGCATTGATGAATAATTATTAAAACTTTTTTGATCCCAGGATCGTGAAATCGATTATTCATTTCAGTTTGACCATAATTTCTTGAAACTTAATATTACATCTTGAAGAATTTACATAATTGGAGAATGCTACTGTGATAGTTCGTGCCAGTTAAGTGTTACAAAATCAACGTATTTTTTTTTGGTTACTGTTAGTGCTGTACAACTTGAGGTATGAGACGTATACAGTTAGGTTTAAGTGAAGGTGATTATGATTTCTTGATTTGCAATTCAGAATTCGTAGCTAAATGTTAGACGGCATTTTTTTTCTAGAGTGAGAAGATAAGATGAAAATGGTGGTGGTTTAATGAATAGCAAAAAATAGCAAATTTGAATTATGCAAACAGTAATGAAAACAATAAGAAAAGTTTTGCAATTTATTAGTGACTGATGGAGATATGTAGTCTTTACGCTTTTCATAGAAGCTTCATAGAGAAACTTCTCATTAGATTTGCTCTCACTTTTTGGATGTCTTAATTAAAAAGAGATACCACAAAGTGAACGAGAAATTGCATTGAAATATAAATCATTGGGACTTGGTAGTTTGCTGGAATACAAATGACCAAGGTATTTGTTTTTTTTGAGTCAACCCGTGCGGTTATTGATATAGTCTTATTTTATGTGACTAATGAATTGAATAGGTAACTGAAACCTGAGCAATGTAGCATAACTTCAGTATTTTTGAATTTTAACTGTTTCTATGAACTTTATAACATTTAGCGGAAGGAGACACACATCTTGGGAGATTAACGCTTCACGAAATTCGTGTGGTACATGTCATTGTTGGTGTACAGTTTGCTCTTTTATGGAAAAATGAAGCCTGAAAGTGCTACAATGCTCATGAAATGAAACGGGGCAGTGTATGAGAATGCTGACATGGAATGTTGTTTTCATTTTTTTTATCGGCATTAACGGCCATATGTCATGTATCCATAGTACCCCGTATTCACAGGATATTGACCATAGTAAGCAGCGGGATATGCCGCTGGATATCCACTGTATGTACCATAACCGTATGGTACTACCGCCGAAGATTTATCATAATAGTTTGGCATCATATAAGCACCATGCTTCGCTTCAAAAGCTCGTTCTTCTTCCTCCTAAAAGTTTGTTAGCAACAGGTATATTTTCAGAGTGGTCATTTGCATTTCTAATGTAAAATATCCGTACTTCGGTGAAAGGCAGTTGCAGTTTTACAGCATAATCTGTGCAGCACTGTAATTTTGATTATGGTTTTGAAATGATAACTGCAAAGATTGTACTTCAAAGAAAGCATTAAAGGAATTTGGGAAATGAAGCGTCAGAAGACGAGAATTAACGGACTGAATATATCATGCATTGTTTGTTATCTTAATTCAGGTCATGAGAAGGAGGTAGAGGGGATGAAATAAGTTTATACTGAATTAGTTAAACTGGTGTGAATCTTTCTTCCTTCACAAATACTTTTAGAAGCTTGATTAAAATAAGGATGATTCATGCTTTCTAATTCGCCACTCTAACTAGAACTTTATTTTTGGAAGAAAATCTAAGATTTTATTACATTCCTTTTATATCGGAAAAAAGATTCACTACTTACGACACTACACTCCAGAATTTTCTGTCTTGCGACTAAATTTCTTATACCCAAACCTTATTAATCTTATTTAGATATTATTGCTATCGTTCAATATTTCAGCATTGTTATATAGGAGCAATGAAAACTACCACAGAATGTCTGGATATTTTCTATCATCATTTCAGGGTCATTCTTGCATTTGTGTAAAATATCTATGCCTTACTCTTCACCTTATTCTTTTAAAGAAATTGTAACAATAAATAGTAAAGATAAGATAAAATGTAGATGTCGGTTGAATGATATAATATAGAATCATGCAAAGAAAGACACGTTGGTCTGAGGTCACAAATGATGGAATTTTTGGACACTATTGATATTAGTTTGAGTTCAAGGCCTTTTATACCACCCAAGATTACAGTTTCGTTTTCGAGAATGGAAATTATTCTACCGCAAACAATGAAAACATGTACTAATTCAAATTTAGCCGCAGTAAAAACAATCGAAGGCAAACAGTCGCCTCATCAATCCTTCAAAATGAAGTAAGAATAAAGTGTACAACTAAATTCTTAACATAAATGGTGGATTACACTGCAAGAAGGAATATATGCTGATATTAAAATAATGATGAAAACACATGCTTCACCAAATATTGAATATAAAAAGTATGAAAATAAAATTGGGACGAAATTAAAGGCATTTTGTCGAAATGTACTAAAAAAAATTTTAAATATGAATTTGAAAATAGAACATAGGATAGCAACAGAAGTACTGCTAGTTGCACAATCAATTGTTTGGATTAAATTATTATTAAATTTTCCATAATTAAATTATTATTATTATTATTAAAAGTTGCCAGAGTAAGTGATGAATCAATATTTCATTTATTCACCATTTATTTTGGCAGAAAAAATTCATATATGAAAAATAGCTCGAAAAAATTCCATAATTTGTGACAAAAAACAAAAATTATACCTTGATTTTTTTGTAAGATAATAGCATGAATGTAGAAGCAAGTAATATGAATGCAGTACCAACCCAAGATACCACATATGACCAACCATAGCTAAATCGTGTTCCTTGCTTCAGAATCTATAATTTTATTTCATGTTGTTTTCTCTCACAAAAGAGATAAAAAAATAAAACAATAGTCCCAGCATTGCAAAATTCGACGAGACAAAACGTAGCGAAAAACTGACCGGTTCCCATGACTTATAGAAAGGAGGTACTTCGAGTACATGCCTTTCCAAATAATTAACCAAATGCCAGCATGCCATTGAACCAGCAAGGAACATCACTAAAAATCATACATAGTTTTAAACGTATATTTCAGTTGAAGTCACTGAAATATCTGCTAGCGAACAGCAAGTTTCTTATTTTTCAGCTGACGCAGAGAATATATTAATTACACAAGTCTGTATAAATTATTATATTTTCATGCTGTGTTTTATTTAAAATTCGAACTATGCAGGAAATGCGTGCGTGTGCATAAATCTACGTGCGTGTGCATAAATCTAAAAGCTATTTATATTAAAAGTCAGTGCAATTTAAATTAAAGTTTGATTAATTCATCTCATCCAAGTCTATGACGTTCGTAAGAAATAATCTTCCAGAAGTATACAACCATTAAAAGATAACAAAACAACTCTGGAAGTTACTAAAGGGATTCCAGTCTTTAAAATTCTTAGAAGAAAAAATACTTGAGTCCCAAAAATTTCATATAATTTCTAAAAGTCGCCAATTGAACAAAATATATAGAACATAGTAATACATGCCCTTCATTAACAAATTTTTCTACAATTATCAAATAATTATGACATGATAAGGTATTATTTATTGCAAACTCGAAATATTTTAGTTATTCATTTCAATGATTTGTAGAATAATACTAAAAGGATATTGGACGCTGCACATCCCATATATGGGTCATTGTTATTTGCGTTGATAATCACAATTTTAGAACATTCAGTTTTAATCATTAATTACAATTCTAACAAAATCCTTTCGAAGCACCGAATAATGGTTTTCCCAAAATTACATCCTTTTAAGAATATTACAACTATTTGCGAGATATAATAAAGAAGAATAACACAACTATTTTATATTTCGAATCATGAGAACTAGTGAGCTCTAATTTTGAACAGCATGTACAAAAAAGTTTCTTCACTACCCAAAGCAAGAAATATTAAAATTGAAAGTGAGGCTTACCAAACCTTCCAGAGCCCACAATTCAATGAAATGAAAAGTTAAAGAATGTAATAAAGATTACCTGAGAAAAGCATAAGTAATGCTGTCGTTAGAACGATTTTTGTGCTTCTCCGCCAGCAGCCAACCATACCGAAAATAGAACAAATAACGAACACCACTAATCCCAACAAATATAATATTGCAGCACCCCACATGGCGTAATAACGGTATATTTGTAAGCTGTCGTATTTTTCATATACAGCATCTGATGGGTGGTAGTCGTCATTCCAAATGCACGGTGAACCAAACTTGGAGAAACTTCCAATATCTGCAAAAACTTTCATATCCTTCATAAGTTCTTGCCTAATGCATAAATGAATTTATTTTAATATTATTTTCTTTGCACTCTTTTTCGCATTTCTTTTCTATGCTGCTATAATGTTAGCAAAATTTTTAAATGTGCTCAATTTGAACTGAATTTGGTTACAGGTAATAAATGTGTTTCATTTCAAGATTGAAAGTTTTTCCATTTCAAAATTAATTCTATTTTAAATATGTTTTGCATTTCTAGATAACAATTTTCGTACTGCTGAGTAAGAATAAGAAATAAGTACTTACTTATTACTTAATAACCAAATGAAATGTATCTTATACGTTAACAATTGCGTACCGTACTTTTTCTCCTTATTCATTAAGGTCAAAACAAGGAATAAATATTTTATGCCGTAGCATGAAATTAAACTGATTTAAAGATACCAAAGAAAATAATCATGCAAATATTAAAATTAGCAATTATGAACAATTATGTTTTCACTGTAATGGATTAGTTGATGATATATATGAAATAATTTGATTACCTGAAGGTACAGCGTCTGAAAAGCATACTAAGAAAAGACCGTAACTGCGAGAAAAATACAAAGGGTTCCTCACAACGTTGTCTTTTAATCGAGTATTTAATTCCGTATTTCGATTCATGGCATTGATTATTTCTCGCCGGTTCACCTTCAAAATGAAAAATTATAGTTTGGCTAGCTAATTATAAAACAATTTTTGAAAAAAATGAAGCTCATTGTATTAGCAACTTTTAAAGACCTTTTTAATTTGCTATACCCTAGAATATCTTTGTTTCCTCATGTATACCTCTCATTTTCAGTGCCTCAAACGATGATTTCTACAGGAACACAAATACTAGCTTCTCATTTATCTGCAACATATAAATTACCTCTGATAAAATAGATTTTGCATTTAAACTGAAAATGAAACAAATTATCACCTCATCGCAAAAATTTTAGTACTTCACTATTTCACTTCACGAAAAAGTCTAGATAATTTTTTCAAGTGCAAAGAACTGATATCGATCAGTGTCATTATTTTCTGATGAAAAAGTTTAGATAATTTATTTTCTCCCAGAAATGCTTCATAACACTGGTTTAGAATTAAAATCAAATATTTTCTTTCGTTTTGTTTAACATATTTCGCTTTCACTGTAAATAATAACCAAGTTAATTAATGATTTAGTATTTTTAAGGCATGATAAAAAGAAAATGTTAACGAATTTTATGAGCTATTCTAATTTTTGCTGATTCCATTAAAAATTCACTCGTATCAAAGTTTGCTGAGCTCACATATCTAATTTTTTCAGGTTTTCTACTCTGCTTTATTAATTTCATCTTTAACTTTTGATTTGTATGCGAATGGCTATAAATTTGAAGCATGAATCAGTATTTTAAAATAAGTTTTGCAGATATAAGTGAGTAAATTTGACATGATTACTTTTTCCGCATCTTTTTCAACCACATTGTGCTTGGACATTTTACTTAAATGACAAGAAAAATTTATATTTTGTATTTTATAAAATTGATATATTGTAGCATACAATTTGAAATTAAAATTACTGCCAAATAAACACAAGTTTATCCTGGTTTGAGTCTGCTACATAAATATAAGTATATATATATATATATATTTGTCGAATATTTTAGTACACAAACTTTAGTTAAGCTAATGCATAATTTCGTACTTCAGGTTTACCTCATGTGTCAGATTTTTTTTCTGTGATTCCTGAAACAGATGAAAGAAATGACAAAAGCGAATATTTTTTATTTACTTATAAAAATAATCGCTACTGAATTACTAATTGCGCGCTTGTATTTACTTAAAGGAAGAATTTTCACTGTAGTAAAATATTTGGAAAATTCTATCTCACCGACCAATTCCAAATACATTTTATGGTAGTTGCTTCTAAAAGTTTTACGAGAAATTAAAAATGGTTTTAAGCAACCAGAATTTATTATTCGTTTCATCATTTTAACTAATTTACGACATACTTCTTCATGTTTGTGATTTCAGTAGATGAAAGGATGGATAGCAGTCGAAAAAAACAATTAATCATTGAGGAAAAATGATGCAAGAATTCTTCAAATTCTATGCATTATTAAAAGAGACAAATCTCTCTTTACAACATTATTGGCAAGAAACTGCTTCAAGAATTCAAGATGTGAATGCGAAACTAGTCATGGTAAAAAATTATCTTACTGAATTTTAAATATTTACTTACTATTTACCCTTGAACCATTTGCAAGTTTAATGATAAGCAAGCCGTCAGCAGAGTTGAAAAGAGAACTAAATGATGTAATGATGTTGAAAGAATTAATTACAATGAACTATTTTCAGTAAAAGCAATCTGATATGAATGAAGTGGAAAGGAATCAAATGAGGAGTAGTTGCACTGAGTAAGCAAGAGTAAAAAATGCGCTTATTCGGTAAAAGTGATTCATTGGTTCTGAGTTATTATGTATAGCGCTACAAAAAAAAACCAATGCATTAACTGCTTTAGTTTGCTGCTGTTCATCACATCTTTAACTTCTACCTTATAGTAGTAATACAGTTTGAGTAAACTTTCAAAAAGGAGTTGGCAGGTCTGCAGTGAAAAAAAGGTGAGCTTTCATAGTCTAAAGTGAAAAGGTAACATTTAGAAATGAAGGTCACTGTCAATAATAATCAATTTTTACTATTCAAGAGTAAAACTGAGAGATTTAAAAGTAAGCAAGTAAATACAATATTAATAATACCTGGTAATCGGTCCATGAGTCTGTAGCTAACGCTAATGTAATAAGCGCCAAGCCTAGTAAGCCGAAGACGCTTGTAAGGGACAGTAGCAAAGGTGAGGACCACATGACCGCGCACGGAGACAGCCCTTAGACGAAATGTAGGTGTATGACAATGTGTGTATGGGTGTATGCTCTCTATGTGTACCTGTGTATGTGTGTGTGTGTGCGTGTGTGTGATGAAGTGAGATGATGTACAGCAACTTGGCACTGTCCTCCACCTTCTATTTCTTTCGTTGTTGACTGTCGTCTTATTGCTAGTTGTTATTATTTGTCGTTGTAGTCGCCAGTAATCCATCGTTGTGATTGTCGAGAGAGAAATAAAAGTATTCGGTGAAAGTGTTGAACAGAATAGAAAGAAATACAAGTAATGATCATTGGCGCTAATGAAACATCGTACAGCGATACATACAAACGTTTTCAGTGTAAGAAGATGGAATATCACCCTATGCATACAAACAACAACAGGTATATATACAATTCCTTGACCATTGACCACTTCCACTAGCGCTGACCATCACTCACTTTCTCTTCTGCTCATTCATTTATTTATTCACTACATTTATAGAATCCGTTCTAAGAAAAGTAGATCAGAGAATCTTTAATTATGAGAACGAATTGACTGTGATAACAATGATGATGATAGTAGCAGTAGTTGTATAAATAGTATTAAAAGAGTAGAGTACAATGAGCTTATAGTCACGATAGGAGCAATGTGCACTTTAATATTATCTTAAATTAAATTATGGTAAGTTGTATAGTCTTAACTCATGACTTTATCACTATATAACTGTATGGTAAGCAGAGTGACATTCTTTCTCTGTCTCATTTCCAATTAATGACAAGGAGCTATTTGTCTTGTGCAAGAAAAGAAAATCTTGCGGGAGATTCGTGTGATTTACCAAATATTCAGAGAAAAAGTAATAGAAGCGAGTTGTTACATTGATGCAATTCATTGAACGGATGAGATGATGACCTTAGAAAGAGTTTAACCATCAGCAAAGACTACCACTGAATTACTAAACTCAAAAATTGTTTTACAAAATCATTATCATTCGCAGAGAATTTTCTCTTTCTCTTCTACTTATTTTCCTCTGTCTCATTTACTGCAGCTATTGCGCACTCCATGAAATTAAGTGAACGGACAGTTCATAAAGGCACGATGAAAATTAATACTAATCAGTTGATTTTTTTTGCATTTGTCTTTAGAAAATTATTTCTAGTAAGTGAATGAATGAAAAATGTCACTGAGCTGTCATTGCATTCTAATGAAAATGCTTTCATATCTCATGAAAATCTCATCAACACACATATATTGAGAACATACGTAACATTTGATCATACACCGTATTCTTTTTTGCTTCACGGAACACACACGCACCCATATAAATACCCACATAGAAGCAGACATTGCTATGCGCATTCGCATATGGCTTGCTTCTTTTTTTGTTGCTCTCTATTACGTCCTTTGATGAAAAAAAGCCATGTCTCCCCTTCATTCCTGGTAGTTGTTAATCTTATAGTAACTCGCTTCTGTCTTTAACATTCTTGACGAAGAACGATAAATTTTGTAAACACTTGACATCCAAGTGTTGTTTTTGTCATTGCATAGAGTCTACGCCTTGCCTGTCTGCTTATTTATGCATTGTTTAAAGATGATTCTGCTAAAATCATTGTACCAATTATAAAATTAGCAATGATAAAATGTTCCAATTATGTACTTAGTAAACATTGTCTGAAATAAACCAGATATATGGTAGCAGTTTTTTACTATTGTTCATAACTCCATAATCTTAAATAATTTTTTAGTATGCGAAAAATAGGATTATGCTTCTTACATCACTACAGTTTTTGCCTCTAAAGTAGTCAACTTTTAATTTTCTATTTTCGGATATATATATATATATCAGCACCATGAATTGTTAATGGGATGCATATACGATTCATTAATATTTTGCAGATAACTAAGTTGTTTCCAGATTTATTTAATTTTTTCATAGCCGTCAAAAACTTCAACTTCAGCTTTTCTACTGGTTGGAAGCAAATACTGTACAAAACAAACTAGAAGAAAATTAAAGGATGTAGAAAAACATCGCAAATTTTAGAGTATTTTGCAGTTCATAATAACTACAATCAGTTTTTGCACATATCTTTCAGATAATTCAGGGCTAAAAACAGATTTACAATCCAGTTTTTTGCTATATAGTACTATAAGACTACAATAAGTTTCAGAATAGATTTTTCCCATCATTTCGTAATTCCAAAAGCAGTTGATTGCGTAAAAACATTTGCTTTATATTTATGAAACGTTGTCAGCAAGAATTATGATATCCATATTTTCTAGCCATATTGTGATGTTGGCATTCAAGGAAATGCTGATCAAAAATGTTTCTACCAAACTACGAAATTTCAGTAAGCCACATATGTATAACAGTATGGGTAAATGACAGTATAAGCTAGGAAATTTTGCAGTCACTTGTATCTGGTTGGGCTGCTGGTACTTCTTTTTCTCTGCGTTTTAATTTCAATGACAGGTGTTTTGAGCGTCGTAAAAGGCTACTTGAACGAGTAAAGCCTTTCGATGCATATTCTTTGGCTCTGTTAACCTAAAAATGAAAGCATAATATGACGAACATAATTTTTGTAAAGCTGCAATTAAGCAACAAAGTGAATTTTGTAACGGGAAATTCAAACTATGGAAAACTTTTGAAGGATAAAAAACTAGACAAATTTAGTAAACCTACCAAATATAGTGATAAAGGCAAGTTTATGCCTATTTATTGTTTAAAAATTGTGAAAAAAAAAGACTAAATTTACTCCATGAATGCGGAAATTATGAGTTTTATATAAAATAAAAAAATATTCGAAGAAATATAATAATAAATTGATATAATAACTTGTTTATATCAAATGCTTATTTTTCAAAGTTGTATAATGTTTATAATGTCTGACCAAAATTTTAAAAACGTGTTGGTAGTATCATCAAAAATTTTAGTGAAGATACTGCTGTTATCTTAATGGGTAACAAACAAGCACAATGTAATATTCAGGTTGCAATCTGTGATGCAAAAACAACATAAAAGCAAAACAAAATGATACCCTTAACGACCAGTTTCTGGTTAATATATGCTTGGGTGGAATGGTACAAAATGTATCTTGTAGTCGGTTTCTATAGTCCTGAAATAGACTTGCGATTTCATTTCCTGTTCTGATTGCATAGCATTCATTTGTATTATAAATTTTAATTTAATAACTAATACTCTACACAAACTAATTTGCACTAATTATTCAAAGCAATTTAAGATATCGAAAATGAAGCACTAGTCCATAACTAGTTATTAGAATATATTACGATTTTTCGTGAACTTAAATTATATTTATCAATCAATTATACTCTTAATTATTTAATCTGATTCAAAAAACAATTATCTGCAGGATCTTCGTCTTTCTGTAACTTTTCTTACTTTTATGGGGCAATAAGATAACAAATTTTTTTTAATAAAAATTGAAATTTTTTGGAACTATACATATTTCATTAAAAGAAAATTCGTTTAAAAAATGAAAGTCGTAACAAATAAACTTAATAAAAAATAAAGCTTAGATAAATCACAGCAGTAATGCTTAAATAATAAAGCAAAGCTACAAAAGGTCGCAACTGACTTCAAGTTTTGAAGAATCTGAAACACGTATTTTTGATAATGTTGTATTCACATCATCTAATAACTTTTCATTGGCTTCAGATGATGACAATATTGACGTCTGTAAAAAACCATTTATTTTAATATAGTTCAGCTACAAAACTAATGATTATTACTTCATAATCACTGAAATGGTCAAATTCATAGCTTCAAATACTCACTATTTTTTCGTCCGATAAGCCACTTTGCTCCAGGAATTTTTGAAATATTTTTATTATATTACGATTCATCATTGCTGAAGATTCGACATAACTTACATTCGAATTCAAACGTTGTGTCCATGCTTGAACTGTTGCTTCAAATATCTAAATTACACGCAGTAAAAAGCTTTAATATGCCAAATAGAAAAATTCTTGCATAATTGGATGCACTTCAAAAGTATAATTTCATCACAATAAAGCACTTTTTGAGATGATGAATCAGACTTGTTTCCAACAATAACAGTTGGAAGAATTCGAGCATCTTTGCGCTGTTGTACAATCTGTGACCACAATTCACACATCTACAAAAACTCTGAATTTGACGAAGTTAGCAGTATATTTTTAACACTAAAAAACATATTTTTAGAATTTAGAAGAGTGAGGGAAAATTAATTCAAAACTGAAAACCTGTTTGAAGCTTGGAACATCATTAACAGCAAAAACAAGCATGAATGCATTTGCAGATGCTATTGCCACTTTACGCATATCAGGGTAATCAAAGTTTGTATCCAAAATTTCCAATGATATTTTCATTCCCTATTTGACCAAATAGTTTTAATTTCATTCACAGAAACAAAAAATAACACATTTCATTACGTCAAAAAATTGCCTTCTTTTTAAGTCAACATAATTTACTGTAACAAAAATATAAAAATAAAAATTGCAAAAACCTGTAAGTTGAAATCTTTCAAATAAAGATCTTCAACAGTTTCGCGATATTTTTTATCAAATGTGCCATGAAGATAACGTTGAATAATTGCTGTTTTGCCCACTTTTCCGGAGCCCAGTACAACCAAACGAAATCGTTTTTCCTGCGTTTCCATATTCAATGATCTTTTGAAAGTTTAGCAGATTTCTTAATTGAAAATATTTTATTTTACTAAATCAAAAATTTTATTTGTTTGAGCTCGATTTCAAATTATTTTCTAGTTTCTTAATTTTTGTTATAAATTCAAAATGCATTCATTAGCAGTAATGACAGATTGTTGTAACAAAAAAGTTAATACTTTTTGTAGGGTACGAATTCATTATTTAGTACATACAAAAGTTGGAAACCAACTTAATATCAACGAAAAATGAATCTTTTTTTGGTCTTTCTGTAAAAAGTATTGGATTTGAAAATTGATGACAAATTTAAAAAAAGGAAAATTTAGACTTTTAAAATGTTTATGAGACAGATGCTACTGTTCTGCTACAAAAATATTTAGAAGGGTTTAGAAAAAAATGCTTGAAATTCATGTTTTGGAGTTACTTGTTATTAGTCCTAAAAAGTTATTTTGCTATATCAGAAGATCGAAAATATAAAACATATAATAATATAATGAAGAAAAACTGATTGTTAGATTTATTCGTTCTACAGCAATTATAATAAAAATTGCCCATAAATGATTTTAAAAAAAATTTTTTTTAAATTGAAATATGCATAAAAGCAATGATGCGTCAATACACTTATCAGTAGTTACTTCATAATTACAGGTTATACTTTATACATGTTAAAACAATTTTGTCTAATGCTCAACATAGTTTCGTACTCCAGATTCATAGCTTACTGACACTGCAATTAAAGTCTTCAAATGATCATTATCAGACTTGCATTTGAGAAGTAATTAGAAGCTTCAGATGACGTCTATAAATTGCAATAATTCCCATTATTCAATTTCAAGATGAAATTTTGTTACTCATAATGATGGCTAACAATCAAGATAAGACTATTTAGTGTGGATTCTATGATGGTTAGTTAGAACATTATTTTTAAGACTGAATTATGAATGTTGATGAGATAGAAATTATGGCTAAAGCGCAGTAAAAAATAATTGATTTCATACTTGTAAATCATTCTTCCATTATAGATGGACTGAAAAGCAGTGAATCTATCGTTGAATTTGGTTTGCATTTATTACATCTTTATATAAAAAATAGAAATAGACTAAATTTGATATGTAAAAAATTATTTTAAATTACATTTAATCGCTTAAAAAAATAGTTCATCAGTACCAAATGAAATGAATGTTAATATAAGCAACTTGAAGATACGAATGCGAAAAAAAATCTTTATGAACTTTTGATGAATTCAATTTTGATTATTCAATTACTCTTGAACACAAGGTATTTAATAAAATTATGCAGGGTCCGTAAATTCAAAAACATAACAACGGTTAAATGAAATTAGTTTTATAAGAAAAAATGCAAATTTCATTTGTGTAACAATACTTTTTGTTTTTGGAAAAATATGGCAGAAAACACTTTTATGGATAATTTACTGACTAAATGAAACATAATGTTTTTTCAGAAGTACTCAAACTACATACTTCGACTAATTATTTAAAGTGGCTCTTGTATACTCATCACTCATTAAGTGTTGCTCCTCTAGATAGTTTTAGCGGTTAGAATCATCAGGGTCAAGATTCTGTTTTGAACACAAATGATGTTTATCAAAATAATTTTGACCTACTCATTTACATATTAAAAGTATTTATCGGGAAATTTCTTTGGTTTAAAATTTTTGAATTGTGGTCAGTAAAAATAAATATGCTTCCATTTTGACAAAAAATAGTCTATAAATTAGACAGCATATTGATATTAATGAAATTAAAGAATAAAAAGTTTATATAAAACTGAAATCATATAAGTAATATTAATTGACTACTTCATTTTTTCATTACTGTTCGGAGATGATACAAAGAAAATGAAAATTACATACAGGAATCCATTAGAAAAAAACCTTTCATTTTTTTATCCTATCAACATGCTATTTATTCAGTACATGATCCACTATGAAAATTTCTCATTTTTCAATGTTATAAGCACAAACATAGTGGATATGAAATCTCTATTGAGGAAATTAATTAGTGAAGGTTGCCTTGTCTTGAAATGGATATATTGAAATGATAAATCACTGATTCCAGTGTGAGACATTTACTTGCGTACTACATTAAAAAACCATTAAACAAATTTATTGCAAAGTATTCGAATCATTGTATTAAATATTATATCATACTTGATAATTTCTGGAAAAAAAATTATTAACTCTGATTAAGGAAATAGAAAAAAATTATATACATTTTACATCTTTACTTTGTTTTTTTTTCTTCAACTTTATTGGACTAAAAGCAACTGCAATAATAAGCAGTAATAATGTCTTTATAAAAGAGCTATTATTAATACTTTTATTGTCGAAGGTATAAGTGCTGGAGGATGCAAAACTTCTGTAATGTTGCTTGAACAGAAAATGAGTAGATTTATAAAATTTACGGATCACATGTTTAAAGTATTCTTTATAAAGCATGGAAATACGAAATTAATATAAAGTATTCAAACTAATTTTACAAAAAAAAAGATTCCTCAAATCGATTTCTTTAATATTTTCCATTTTAAAAGCTTTGATTTTTTGCAGTTCATTGACAAAAAAATATAAATTAGTTAGTAATGAATATGTAATAAGTTAAAAGTTATGAAACTGAGAAATAATTAAAGTTATTAAGAAAAAGTTAAGGGAATTATGAAGAAGGTTTTTACATAACTTTTTATGCACGAGAAACTAATCATCGATGGATCGATCTTGCAGCAAAAGCATGCATACTAATTTTTTTTAACCTTTTTTAAATAAATTACGATGTGTTTTAGTAAGATCTGACATTTTAAAATGAGCTTTTGAATATTGAAAATAATTGTTCCATTCAAAAGCTATTGTAAAAACACTTTCAAAGAAATCAGTAAAATTCTTGCTACTGAATTTGTTCAAAAAGAGTAACAAAGATTTTTTGTTTTGAATTTATTATTAAGAAAATAGAATTAAAGCAATTTTTCGGAACATGCCTTTAAATTTGTAATACAAGATCATAAAACACTATTTAGTCAAATAGACACATTTATATCCTCATTTAGACATTTTGAGTTTTTTTCTAAAATAAATAAATCAAAACTACTAATGCTCATTAATATGCATTCATTAGTTACATATTTTCAAGACTTTATAGAACCTCATATTTCTGCTGCATAAAAAAAATTAGCAGCCATTAAATGAGAAAAATATTAGCTTAAGTTACTAGGATTTACGTTCTAATTTTGCAATTTTTTATTCATTGTTATTTTGTTCTATCACATTTTGTTAATTGTGAACAAAATTATTCTTTCTGAATCAAATACTGGAACAAATAAAATATATTAACTCTGAATTACAAAGTTGAATTTACAATCAATTTTTAGCAATAAAAAGTATTTATTTTTAAATTTTCAAGGTTTTATGCTTCTAGATAAGAATGCTGAAAGCAAAAATTTAGTTTACGTAAGAAAAGTTGAAGTAATAAGCAATATGAATGGAAAATTTTTTTCATACGTATTTTTGTTCCGCAATTTTAAAGCATTAAATACAATATTTACTAAAAAATTTTCTTCGATCATTCAGCTTTCTTTACACTGAATAAATGCTGTGTGAGAGTGACTGACACGAGGCAGTTAAATGCAGGCATTATCATGTACATTATGCTTACCTTTTACATAGTGTAGAATTAGAATTAGGAATTTAGAAATCTGATTTAAGTTAGTAAAAGTTATTTGCTTTTCATCTATCTGTTTGCGCTAGAAGAAAGCAACTCATAAGCAGAAACAGAAAATGAATTAATTTAGTAGTTAAAAACTTTGAATATAATCATCATCTGTGCCAATTTTAGTACACTAAGAATACGATATTTGGATCAAGTTGGAGAGGAAAAATATTCGAGAGCATTTGATGAATGAATGAATGTTCTTTTGCAACAATAACACCACATGATAACAACTAATGTAACTCAATAAACGGATGTTAATTGAGGGAATCAATATATGAAAGATGCTAATGTTAGGAAGATTGCTGTGTTGAAAATACGATAATGACTTTTTTCATAAAATTTTGAAAAATAATTAAATGAGTATTGATAATACTGCAAGTAGTTTTTGATGAAGAATTTATCATAAACTTTTCCGCTAGTTTATATGGAAGGAACGTTTCCGATGAAAAAAATGTTTTTTTTTCTTTTTTGATTCTGGCATTAATATATTTTGAAAGTTCATATCTCCAATTATAGGAGCTTAATTTCACTACTTTTTCGTTTTTAGATTTTTCTAATACGTGAGTAATGTATTAAATGCTTTATATAATAAGTAAAGAAATAAAGAAGTGAGAAAAAATCGTTGAGAAGGAATTGATGATGATGTTAAGAAATGCAATGATTTTTCTTTCCTTCATTTTATTTACTGATTTAAATAACATTTTTAAAAATGTTGTTTTTAATATTTAGATTAATACCAGCTAAAAATCGACCATTTGAATAATTTATTGCAATTAATTTTGTTGACTAAGAGCATCAGAAAAGCCATCATTTATATTGAGCTCTTTATTAGCAGTCTGTGCAGTCAACAAGGATGTTTGTGTAAGGGAAAAATTTGAAGTTTTGAAAATTAATCTTGTGCTAACTCTAATTACATGATCAAAATACATATCATACTTAGAAATGCATGCTCAGCTATTCAAAATGTTAAGACATATTATGAGCAAAAATAGACCAACATTCTCCAATGTTTGTGATAATAGTAAAGCTTAGCAACAAGGATAGATGATAGATAAATTAAAATTAATTTTTACTTTTGCTGGAATTTGTTCACATTCACATTTTAACAGATAAAGTGCTTAAAGACTACTATGACCACTATGCTCTAAATAACAAAGTGAAAATGTTTATTTAGAATTAAAAAACATACCATAATCTTGTTGATAACAAAATTATAATGCACAAAATATAGTCAAAAAAATTCGAATTTTTTTAGTTCTATCAAATTACATTGCATAATATCATGTATACTGTAGTACTATATACTGTAGTACTATAGGAATTAAAAAGTTTACTAAATAATTACACACTGAGACTGACATGAACTTTGTATAAAAGAAGAAGCATAGACCTCACTAAGTGATTACTCCCTACAAAATTTTGCATTCTTGTCATTTGCTCCATTTTTTAATATGCTAACAATTATTGCTGTGCGTACACCCTAGTCTTTAATGATTACTGAAGATCTGCTTCTAATGATGGCTAGAAATTTCTGCTGAAAAATCATATTAACAACTTATTTAGAACTTGCAAAACAAAGTGAAATTAATCATGCTTAATGGAATGTCTTGAAATAGTTTTGATCTAAGTATTGCATAGTGTAATAAATGTGCCAAATTTTTTTTACCGAAAAAGTTTTGATCACACAGAAATTAGAAAAAAAAAATCTGTAAAATGATGTTACAAATGTGAAACAATTAGTTTAAGAAATAAATGATGATATAACATTGAAATGCTGAAATGCGTTTAGTACCTTTGAACTGGATTAGCTTTATATGACCAACGGAGAATATTTGCTGTTAGCAACTGTGCAACAACGTTTTACTTCTGTATTCGTAGTTAATCGCAATATATTATGTGATTCACAATACGTTTTTGATAATTTCTATTTTGCAATGCGCTGACAGCATGAACTTTCAAGTAATGGATTATTGGCCATGCCCTGTGATCAGAGAGATGTATAAAGTCAGTAATGAATTATTACTCCTTTAAATTTCCTACAGAAAAAATAATTTAGCCTGCTTACTTACTTATGCGTAAAGTAAATCAAAATTAAACTGTTAGTGCGTTCATTTGAAGAAATGACAATCTGCGCACCATTATTATTGTTACTCATTTTTGCTTTCAATAACAGGTATATTTGATAAATTTTTTGATAGGTTTTCGACAAAAAAAAAAGTCCTAAACCGTTTTCGCATTTATTTTTAAAAATTTTTATTAGTACAAATTTATTTAGAATATTTTACTTAATTAAAATATCATTTTTATTTTTAATTAAAGTGACTTTAGACACGAAGTCGTTGACTAAGACATTCAATTAGTCGGCAAAGCTTTCAGATCTATAAGTGAACATTAATTATATCACTTGCTAATACTGCTTTGTCTAGAAATGACAAACACTCTTGCACCAATTTTTAGATTGTACAGTAGTATAAAAGTGAGTAAACTGCAAAGTTTTTGATGATTGCTAATAAGTAAAAGAAATATCACTTTTTTAAATTCCTGTAAGTTAGCTTCTGAAAAAAAAAAGACTATTCTACTCATGCAATCGTTAAGTGTGATAATATAACGTTAGCACTTTGAAATGTCTCAAAAATATAGTCATTATTAGTTGTACTTTAAATTAAGAAACTTAATTATTGAATTAAGAAAATATGAAAATGTTAAATATGCGACAACTGCAAAATGATTGTATTATACTAATTCCTCAAACATTGAGATAAAATCATGTTCTGTTATTTAATAACCAACCTTGCATCTTGAAGAAGTATTAAATAACACAACATAATTTTAGTCTTAACACACAAGCACCATAACGATAGTACTGTTCTATTACTGTTCTATTTTCCTTATCAATCAAATATCGACTGTTCCGGATGACAGTTCAGGTAAATTTTGCATTTCTATGCTTTTTTTGTATTATAAACTTGCTAACATTGTTTTTCTACATTTCGTTCATAACATACTTTCGGTAAATGGAAAACCATGTATTGATTGATGTGTATACCAACTATTCCAACAACACAGCTTGCCCAAATGTATCATGTATGTTAACATTACATGCATCCAATGGGGTCGAGACCGCTTTACAATGAATCTCATTGGTCTCAAAGCGAAATATGTGCGCAGCGCCTGTGGCATTTGCCTATTTCATAGTGTTGCATACTTGAAAATGTTGGGTGGAACGTTGCGCAATATCCGTCGAAAGTGGTATGTATTGGGGTGGGGTACGGATTTTAACTGATAATTCGAATTTTTTAATTCTCTGATTCTGCTGATGTAAATTAATTGATTTGGTCTAATTTATTTATTTTGTTTACCATCGTGGTATGGTCATTATTTTAGTTTTATTTGGATTTTTTTTTTTGTTTTATTGCTGGCTGCTGAATGTTCAGTCAGCTAAACGCTGAAAGTTTAGTTATTCAGCGAATAGCTATGAGCCCCGAGAAACGAATTAAGCATTATCAGACAGGTATGGTCCTCTTCCTGTTTTCGTCTACTATATGAGTCAAAATGTCCCCTGAAATCCATTGCTATTAGGATTTGACAGACTGTAATCTGGCCTTATTTATCAATGCTCCTCTCTTAAAGTATATCATAACAAATGTCAAGCTTTCATTTGTCTTGCAGAATTTCATAAATCAGGTACTCGAAATACGGTTCTTATAGATCCGATCAGTAGTGCCAACGGTTGCAAGATATATCCTTCAACTTCACCATATAAAACTAGGTTGTCAGCTACGTGCATTCACTATCCTTATGAAGAGCTTTTTGTTTTAGAAATAATGATTATAGAAATATGTTAGATACTTCTTTTTGTTAGCTCGCAGTGCGTATCGTTGCTTATTGATCGATAACCTATTTGAATACACCAAACATTTGTTCATGTCCTGGAGTTTTCGCTCTTAAAATTCATCTACAGCTTCTCGTATTGTCACTTCTAGATTACTTATTTGAAAATGAGTCCAATAATTTACTTTAGGCGGCAAAAAAATGGAGTAGAAGAAAAAAAAACATATCCTGCATCAAATTTTCCTTCGGTACGCTCACGCCTCAACTCTGTATCCGTTGTTCTACCTTGTATTTCAGCGGTAGCAACTACCACCGTCGAAAGTAATTACATCATCTTTGGATTATCAAAATTGTTATAAATAAATAGAATAAAAATGCAGAAAAACCCACTTTGCGTTGTTTTTTTTACTAGCACGCTGTCGGTAACTTTATGACACTTCACCAAAACGACTACATAAAAGTCACAGAAAAGTTTCTCTTTCTCCATCTTACTATTCCTTTTTTTGGAATGCCAGGCTTCTGTAAATTCAGAAAGGAAAGGACGTCGTGTTAGAGGTTATCGCAGTGGTGGTGATGGTACTGAAAGCAGTAGCTCAGAACATGTAAATGCTAAACGAATTCGGACATCATACAGCAATGGTGAAGTCAAAAATGTTAAGATAGTTGTGAATGATGTTCGACCACAAATTGAAAAGATTGTGCAGCAAAAGAATCGGTTTAAGGTCTCCTGGATTTTATTAAACCTGACTTTTTACTTGTGCCTTAAAAAGACATATGATGAATTACTTTTTTTTACACGTAATCTTATGGTAAACATCTAGTCTCATTAATATGACTCACAATCTCCTATTAATTTCAGGATAATTCATGTAGTGATTTCACAGAACGGTCAGTTCAGAAAAAAACAGATGTAGATTTGGAACATCAGTTTAAAAGTTCGTTATTACAAATTGTTTATGTAAATATTAATATTGCTAAGTTAAGATGGTTACTATCGCTGTAGAAAATTTTTCATGTAGCCTGTATCAAGTATTGAATATATTTTATAGAGGCTATCAGGCTTTATCGGTACATGTCATTACCAGATACGCAAGTTGGAAGTGCCAGACCAGTGTACAGACCTTTTTTAAAAAGGAATTTGATGTATATGAGACGATTTATTGTAAGTTGAAATGTCATCGTATTTTTACTTATTTTTGTTACATACGAGACGGTTCTCATGGTTTTATTCTTGACGGTTATTCTATCAATTTTTAAATGGATTGATATTTTTCTGTTGTTACAACAGTCAGCATCAACAGAAAATGAATGCGTACCTCCACTTTGTTCAGCAACTACAGTTGGGAAGACTGGAGTGAAAACAAAATTGCGCAAGCATCAGCATTTAACTGATATACTGTATGCACTCAAGAAAAGAAGTGAGATATTAAAAAAGGTACTAAGCTTCCTAAACTTCTTATTTGTTTATTTGCTGCTTTCAAACGTTCCAACTTTTCTGAATCAATACTTCGTCATTTATGTTTGCTCCACGTTTCGTCGTAATCTTGAATTTTAATCATGTAGGTCCCAAGCTATGTTTTAGAATGCAAATTTATCGAGATTGCCTGCTATCTCAGATTTAATACGTTCTCTTAAACATGAATGTGGCAAGCAAGAAAATAGCGAGAGTAGTTTGTCACAAGAAATTATGCGACATGCTGATTGCTCACATGCTACTTCTATGGTCAAATTTATTGATATTCGAAATAAGGAATTGCCTGGTATTTTTTCACTAAAGTCCTACTTTTGTGGTACTTTTGTTTTTGACGTGATTTATGTAATAAAGTATTTGCAGGTGATCGACAGGCTCTTATTACTGTATATCTTTCAAGTGAAACTGATGGTGTTTTCGGCGAGATCGTAAGCTTTTTTGTTATTGATCTTTTTCTTCTTAAGTATTCTTGTTTCTATAATGCCTCTCATTTGTATTTTTCGTAGTAAAAATCTAATAACGAAATCATATAGGTGCGGCTTCCCTCCGCTACGGTGCAAATGCAAATAAATAGTCGTGGTGAGCCAGTTGCAATCGACTTACCAGTATCCTTAGGTTGTCCTCTTCATTGTAATGGGAATAAAAGGTAACTTTACTGTTGATTTTTGTAGTAAATTTAAAAATCATAATGATTCTTTGGTTTAATTTATCATAAATCTCATTTTTTCGATTCAGCTATTACTTATTGCAAAATATTTTGTGCAAGGTAATCGCATTTTTAGTATATTATTCCAGAAATGACTATATCATCATTCGGGTTATTTTTTCCGGAGAAGAATTTACTCATGTTTTGGGAGGTAAATCATTAAGAAGCGTTCCATCAAGGCATACAGACAAAGATTTGAAAACAGTTACACCCGTAAGTCCGACCGTTAGTGCTAAAAGTTTACTAGGCCATCTTCTGAAAATGCTAAGAAACTGGATATTGTTTCAGTTCTGTGTTTATATAAATATAAATATGGTTGGAGAAGCATAGCAGCAAAATTTAATTCACGTTCACTATATTTTTTTACAGTCGTGAATATATATGTTTTATTTTCATGCTAATTGCATTGTTATAACGTAGTAGGCCATATGATTATGTAATAATCTCAGAAAAAATGTACTTTATCGTCCTCATTCCTTCTAATGCTTAAGGCTTCCAAACGTATCAGTTATGTCTCCTCACCAGATAAATTAAAAAGTAGCGAGGGCTCTATAACAATGTATGGTGCACGGTGCATATCAACAATTGCGAAAAACGAAACATCTGATGGTTTAATATATGGTCATGGCAGCATTACATTAATGTTAGTGTAAATCATTTTTCGGTACAAACTGCTTCATTTGATATCGTGCTTTCTTTAATTATTTTTGCTTTTACATTTGTTTGACCGATACCATATTTCCAATGAAGTTTCACTCTCATTCTTTACAGCCCAGATTCTTTGCTCAGTATGAATGATAGTTGCCGTGTGGAAAAGACTCTAACAAAAAAGTTGATTGATTTAGGAAAGGTAATATTTTATATATATTTTTGAATTGGATAGTAAACTGATCTTGTTACTGATTTAAGTGAGCACAACTTGTAGAAGATGCACATGAGTCCTTTCGTGCGTATGTCAATAGTACCTGATACTAGTGGTGAATCAAGTTCATCAGAAGATGATGATGAAACGAAAAGTTACTCAAGTATATATTTGACTTGTTCTTTGATGCATATTTTGGTGATATCAACAAGCTTCTGTTCACTTTTTTATGGAGTTAACTAGATAGTAAATTATTCAGGTTTTACCACATCGGCTTCAGTTACCTGTATGCGTCATTTTCGTCACACCAGTGTTTTATCAGCAAAAGGATCTACGCAAAGCGTTGTGTCGGCCGAAAGCGGGCTTCAAAGAGACTACAATGTACTTTATTTTGTTAAATTAAAAATGATTTTAGTTTTATAGCAAATCTAGCAATTTACACAGCACAAATATGCTTTGTGTTTTAGGGCTTTGAACATTACATGAAATCTCGATTCAAACAAGAATTGCGTCTAGAGTTTCCGAAACAAATATGGTGAGCCTTATATTGTTTCCGTTAGAGGAGTGGGATATCAATGCTATGCAACTAATCTCATTAAGAATTATTTACCGCCTGTTAATGATCTTTATTGGTAAATTGAGTCAAGTTTTTAGAAAAAAAAGCACTTTTAATGAAGTCGCTTTAATGTTACACGACCGAGTTCAGTGAATTTTAATTATAGCTATCGCTTCATAACCAGATATAATGACGAATCGGACACAAGTTTTCCAGAAAGCAAACATCTACTTTGTTCTGAAGTCGCATCAGATGTTAATGAGCTGTTAAATTCGAATATCAACCCAGAGGCTACTTCGAATGGTGTACGAAGTCAGTTTTTAAGTTTTTTAGAGTATAGTTGATTTTTGGAATCATTTATTTATAAGACTATTGTAGGGCATTGTTCTCCGCTAAAAGAAGTATCTCCCGGCAAAGTTTTGAATGGACGTGTAATGTCTAAATCTTCAGTTTCGTGTAAATCTCCTCCAAAATGTTTTCCACCATCTCCTTCTAAATACCGTTTGGATGTTCCACGTCGAGACATGCCTTTAGAAGCAATGGTAGATAGTTTAGCTGCTAAATTTGACAAATGCTCAAAAATTGTTCCTCCAAGATCGGTTCCTCCTGATGATAAGGTAATAACATTTCTGAATATTTTCACTACTTTCATTATGGTAGTAACGGTAGTTTTTATTAAAAGAGATTTTCCAGGTTACAGTACCTGAACTGCATTACGAAGGGTATCCTGAACCTGATGGTAACGGAGTTGTTACGCGCTTCGTATCACCAGCGAACAAATGCATATTTTGCCTTGGGACATTTCCTGATATGTTTGCTTTATTGCTTCATATGAGAACAAGTTATCCACGGCTTGATATAGTGTATAGAGTAAGCTTTCGCATATGGTTTTGAAAATCATGAGGGTTCAAATGAAAAAAAAATTTTTTCTGAACAAAAAAGGAAAGGAAAATTGTTTATATAACTTAGAAGTCTTTTTTGTTTCTCAGTTGTTAAATTTCAACAAATACAATAGTTACAATGTAGGGTGATGCGCGGCAAACAGCTGTTATTAACAACAGTGCACCGGTTTTTATAGACGTATTTGTACGAAAGCATTTTGATGGGTCATATGAAGGTGCAATGGTTCGTCAGTATACAACTTCGCGTCATAGGGTTATACCACAACATTGCGTTCCCAGCAGCCGTATCACTTATATTGTTCATAAGTCAGCTTTTAACATTTTTAAAACATTATTTTTGATTATTATATTCATGTTTTTGGAACATCATAGTTTTACTAGAGTTTCAGGTATGAAGCACGGACTATTCGTAAAATGCCAAAAGATCTCAGTCTTTTTTTTATGCAAGCAGATCGAGAAAGGCGTGCTACCAAAGGAAATAATGCGTTAGTAGTTTTTTTGTTCATATCTTTGATTGCACATCCTTTACTTGAATTTCCTAAAATTTTTTATTAGTAGAAAGTATCTTATTACATTGACTTTTAGAGCATATTTTGGTTTCCGTAGCAGGCACCCTTTAATGAATTGTACACAGATATCAACCAAGCAAACTGACCAAGAGTGGTTGCGCGAGTTTATTATCAGAGTAAGTTCTCCTGTCAGACTTCATTTTACATTTCACAAAAAGTTTATAGAATTATTTTATTCTGTTATTGCTAGAAACTTAGCTTCGTCGTATGAATTTTCAGCAAATTGAGGACTTTCTTGATTTATCTCGAGTAGAAAAAGATTTCATGTCATTGTGGAGTATTTTTCTTCTCAATCTTAATCACAAACCTCTTGGCCGGTGTCACACATACCGCACTTGTGTAAGTAGCTTTTTCCAACTGCATCAGAATTCAAATTAACTTTTGGACAGTAAAGTTATAATATTTTAGCGTCTTTTCTTGCAAAAACACCGACAGGAAATTTTGCTGAATAATTTTCAAAATGCGTGGGTATTTCATCTTACTGCATTGCATGAGAAAGAAGCATTAGATACAGATGAAGTTTATGACTTGACAATGCGTCTGAAGGATGACTATGATCCAAGCGCAGACGTTCGACATGTAGTTTATGCGTGAGTTTCATCATACCGACATATCACTTTTCTAAAATTTCATAGGAATTGTGATCTTCAATTTTTTTTAAAGATTTTCATACTTTAGCACGCGTTCTCGACTAGAAGCAGTGGCTCTGAACGCCAAAAGAGAAACTCCGGCCTGGCAAAAAGAACCTATACATGGACCTAAAATTTCAATATTGCGGAGTTCATCTGTTGCACGTTTGTCATCTTTAGAGCCGAATTCGGACAACGAAGTTTGATTTTTCTAGAAACTTGACTAGTTTAAATTTTACTACTTTTGACTGACTTTAGTTTATGTTTCTTACATTTTAGGACATGTTCAAAAAATTTATGAATGATCCTGCTCGTAAAGAAAGGCGAAGTAGTAGTTGTTCAGTGGATGAATCTAGTCGAGTAAATTATTCATTTACGAATTGTTGTACTTAATTGACTGTGCTTCAGATGAATGATGTTCTGTTTTTTGTTGACAACTTTAATTATATAGGATTTTGCAACAAATGTCGAGTGTTACTCAATTTATTCTATTATAGCAATCAGCAAATCGCCGTCAACGAGAACCTGATTGCTCGAAATATCTTACATCACCTCGTGCTACGCAAGCTCCAAAGTGGTTGTCATTTGCTGAATAGATTTGTGCTCATGAATTTCACTTCACCAAAACGGTAAACTAATTCTGACTTCGTCACTTGATCTTCTTTTCTATACATTATTAAGTTTCGAATGTGAATGAGTGCAGAGTTATCGAGAAACTTAAGTGTCTATGATTGTACTATATTTTAAAGGTATTTTTTTAAAGCTTTGGTTTCCTGCCGTTTAATTATATCAAAGAATGTCTCTATGTACTAGTTTCAGATATTCATATTTTTAAAGCAGTAGGCAATATTTTATATGTGCTTCACAGTATTGTTACTGATATTGCTTTCAGGGTCAAATTATTTAATGGATATGTTATCTTTATTCATTTATTTGTGATCGCTGTCAGGAACTGCCTTGAAACTTTCATATAGTCTTTCTTTGAGGATAAGCGATGTTTGGCAATTGATGTTTTCCATATTTTAAACTATTTAGTTTTTTAATTTGTGTTTTTGACATTTGGTATCACTATTAACATTGTCTTTCATATTTCTATGCAAATCACTTTTGAATTCAGTCTTTTAATTGATTTCAAAATTCGGCTTTTTTGTTTAATAAGGTGTAAATAAATTATCTCATTTTCGCCACTAACAAGCCATATTGCAAAGTAAATATCAACTCCTGTATTATGGCCATTGCATTATTTTACTTTCTGTTTATTTTTAATTATTTTTGTATTTATTATCTTGCATTGAATTGTTTTTTGTTTGAATTGTTTTATGTTTTAATAGCTATGTGTGTTAATTGTTTTATATTGTAATTGTTTCATATTTTAATTGTTCTGTGTTTTAATTGTTATATTTTCTTTCATGGTTCATTCGTTTGATGAAAATGTGAGCATATGTCCCAATTCAATCAAGGTTTTTTTTTAAATGCTTAACATGTATGCCATTGCTTTCTTAAAAATTTACTAATTCTAATTTTTTATTTTGCGGTAAATCTATGAGAATACTGCACCCATACATTTTGAGTGTCGAAACGATATGGGAAGCTCGGTCATGCGTCACATCGTCATCGTTCCGTATTGTGTTTAATTATTTTCAATCTATTTTTACTCATCTATTCTCAACCATTTTTTGTGCTAATATTTTATTAATTTTTTATGCATTGGGTTGTTCCTTGTTGTTTTTATTGGTCTGTTTATTTTTTCATGTCCTTCAGTTTTTGTATATGTTATTGCTTTATTGTATCGAAGCGAAATTCAGGTTTTGTGTCGTTTTATTTGGAGCACTTATGAGATGAGTTTTCATCAAGTTGAGTTTTGATTACATTTTAGGGACTTTACGTTTTTTTGTTATCGAAATGTCTTGGGTGCTTGATCTCTAATTTCGTTAGGAGGTTCTAATGAACATTTGTATATCAAAATCTTTTTTTGCTCAGTATATCACAGAAGTTGATGCTGGTGTGGAGACTTTGATATATCTTTATGGAAATGGAGAACAGAGATATTTCTAAGTTCGTTACGATGACTTTCATTTAACTCATTGAAAGAAGTTATTCGTGTTTCCTGGTCGACGGTTACGCATCAAAATTTGATTAGTTGTCCATGATTAAACGCATATCTGATATGAAGTTGATTGGAGACTGGTATATGAGAACCTTCAGTTTGGCACATAATGGCAAATGAACTTGTGGGAACAAAAGTTGATGTGTAGTTAGTAGTGTTCGGTTAGCAAAAGTAATGAATGAGTGATTTTGCTCGATGAGTAAATATATCTTAGAAATTTAAGTGATGGGGCCTCATGAATTTAGAGATTTATGCAGTGAGTTGCTAATATTTGTTTCATGACGTGAATGCGTCAAGAAATGTTTAGTACAGTTTATCTTGGTGATATGTCCTGAACAAAGGTTGGATGTTTTTCATTTCAAATCTGCAAGTATTAGATGCCTTGCTTAGTCACCAAAAAAAGTACCTTGGAATGAATGAACTAGATTAGGTGTTAGAGTAATTGATATTATCAAATATTATGTCTGAGGGGGCACTGCTATAGTTTTCTGTTCTATCTGTAATCATTGATCTACTTTAACACACTTTCTCCATACCTTTTTACCGGACAGAGCATTTATTATTTTCTTAGTTGCTGGTTTCTGTGAAAAAGTGCTTTAAATCATTGTTTGTTCGATGACCAATATTGTTCGCTAAATGCTAACATTAGGATATCTGATCTCAGTCAGATCATTCCGCAAGAAACTTGACTGGATCTAACAGTATTACTGAGGGATTATTGCATATAAATAAAAGATATCGAAAATATTATTGTCGTGTTCAGTACTTGCCTAAGATAAAGTTCCTAACAAAACATTAAATTACTATTAGTCAGGTATTTGTAGAATTTTGTGTAAAAAATTGTCATTTACTAGTCAATATATGTAACAATATACTTTACTTATTCATAAAAACTCCTGATTTTATCAAAATTAAAACGAATGAAGAGTCACAAGTTGCGTAACATAAAAAAATTAACGCATGCTGATGTGTACGCTTACTGTAAGGTTTCTGAACCGCAAACGGAATACAGTAGTATTAAACTTATACGTTTCTCGGCTCTCACTTGTAAAAAACTTATCACTCTCATTCTCTTGATAAGAAACATTCATTTTCAGTGGTGGTATTTCTAAGAAGTGTGTTCTGATAAATGAGCATTCTCTTCAATTCCGTCACTTTTTCTCTCGCAACATCAATGATCCATTTCTACATAAGACTGCTTGATACATTTTTTTATACACTTTTAAAGCACATCATTGTCACAATACTTTATCCGAATGCATCTAATGCTGGGGAAATCAAGTTATGGATGGAGTCATAATTCCTAAGCCGGCAGACAGAGAAGCTAATCAAAACCACTGAGAAATGCGTTTGTAATAGAAACAAACGTCAAATGTATCTCTGAAAAAAACTGGCAAGTTATCTGAAATTACATTTAATCTACGTCATGAGCCCATGAATTTGCTTAAACAGAAGAGATTGCTGTTGGGATCGAAAGAATTTAAACACATAGTTTGCTTTTTTAGATATTTATGACTTTTGCTGCAAACTTGAAGCGAAATATTGAAGAAAATACCGGTGAAAGAAGATTATTAATTAATTACTTTAATTAATATAGGATGAAATTTTAAGACATCTGCAAATAATGTGAATGAAATATTCCTTCATTTTCTATTGAGACTGCAAATATTTAGACTTCAAAATATGATTGATTAAGAGCAATAGCATGTTCACTGTTATAAATTTTTTGATAAGTGGAGATCATTATTCTGATCATAGATCTAAACATCTGGCCCTTCTCATTTCTTTTAAAGCTACAACAAAAACTATGAAAGTAACATGAAATATTCGGTAAAGGATAGTTAAACTTTACCATGTTCACTTTACACATTTTTTTAACCGTTAATCAAATGCAACATATCAAAATTTAGGCTTCAGTAAGCAACAGTGAGAAACCGCGTAAATTTAGATTATTATTAATTATGATTTACGTGTTGATCACCTTTTCCCGATACCTTTTCAATTATTTTTAGTGAAATGGTACCTATTTTGATGATTATTTTGTACAAATAAAAATCAGAAGTAATTTGTAATATACAATGCAAATTTTTGATGACATCTCACAAAACAGTGGCATTCATATTTGATAATAAATAAAACATTGTAAAGGATGCTAACACTGCGGATGACTAATTGAGCTTCAGAATGATTTAGTTTCCAAGACAGGTGATTAATTAAGTATACAAACATTTTTTTCTTCAATATGTTAAAGGAAAATTGGTTCGACTAATTAAAAATAATGTGGAAAAGTGACTTAACACAGAGATATCTAATATAAGATAACTGCTGTGATAATCCGGTCACTGTGAATAACTTCTTGGAAAGTAAGTCCTGGAAATACATCAGTATATTACTGCTACTACCACCAGACAACATATACTATACTAAAAAATAACGAAGCTAGTTCTAGCAATATTTGTAACAAAAACGTGATGAAGTGATATTGCACTTAATGTCGTTAATGAAGTAGTAATGTGATAATGTGAACTAATTATAATATTTTTAAGAATTGTTAGCTCAGACAGTGCACTGATTTATTTGTATTTCATGACAGAATAATCAGTGTCAAAAGTATTTGTTATTAGTTAGCTAATATTTACTATATCACATGATAGTAGGCAGCAGACGACAAGAAAGTATGTCATTATAACCAATTTTTAATCATATTTTTTGATGTTAATTTAGATATTGAGTAGTGAGAGAGAAAGAAGATAGAAGTGGACTTTATAGAAGACTACGAAAGATCTTAAATAGCCGGACATCTGTGTCCACAAGTTAAGAAGACACCCTTCTCTCATTCTCTGCCAACACTTTAGCCTAGTGAAGCCAAAGAAATGGAAAGAAATAAGCCTAAATAACCCGCATTCTTTTGCTCTATATACTTTTTCAAATATCTCTCATACTATCTGCTGTTACTCTAAATGCTATTTCGTTGCCAACGCTAACCAGCAAGTAGGTAAAGATTGTATTGCACAGCTGTGTGGTCATTTTTCTCATTTCCTTCCCCAGCTGCAGTTCCAAAATTTCAGCTCTTCTCACCTCTAATCATCATTACCAGTTGTTTTCTTTATTTTCTTCTTACTTCCTCACGTGTCAAACTTATATGTTTGTTGCTCCTTGTATAGTATATAGCAGTAGTATTGTCCAGTTGCTAATTATCTTCCATACTTATGCTTCTTCATTTTACTCACTTTCCCAATACTTTCTTTCGTTAGCCAACAATAACAACTCATATTCCACAAAAATAAAAGCTAATTATTGTCTACTATACTTCAATTGCTTACTTATTTTCAAACGGCGTATTGAATCATTCCATTTTTTTACTTTTATTTTATTCATTTGAGCATTGTTAATATAATATTATTTCTAAGCTTGACGTATAATCAACGTTTTTTTTCTCACGCTCCTTTGTTTGCTTATTTTCAAAGGTGCAGTATTTTATGCAAAGTGACGGTTTTTTTTTTTTTTTTTTTT